CATCTTCAGATCTTTTCCCTCAGTCCAATCAAACTTCGGAGCCCTCAACTCTCCGACTCTCTCCCGCCAGATGCAACCCGCTTGGCTTCCAAAACCAGACGCTTTTATAGGAAGGGCCTCTAGATTCATAGCCATCGATTGGCATGTGGGTGTGGCTCAACATTCAAGAGCCAGGCTAGGTGTTCGTCTTTGGTTCCATCGAACCAAGGTGCCATTCCAGTGCTTGTTTTTGAGCCACAACCATGTATCCTGTTTCCCCCTCGAAGTGGAAGCCACCTCGGATTGGTGCCACAGCTTTTCCTTTTGCGCGTCCTCTACTCGCAAGGAAATGCAAGTCATGCAGGCACCGTGGATTCGGCTGATTCTGCCAATGCAAAGATGCATTGGCCAGGTGGGTGTATTTTCCTTTTTCCAGGGCATCGGTGTGTGGTGACTTTCAAGTGAAACTAGGGAAAGCCGAAGCCAGTTTGGGGGTCCCCTACTTTAATTTAAGACACACTTTGGTGCTTCTCCCCCCCCCCCCCCAAATCCCAAACGGCGTCAACCCATGGAGACAAGTCCCGTCGGGACAAAGCAATCTCGAGAAATACACCTGCTTTGCCCCCAGAAGCAAACCGTCTGGGCTGATTCCTATATTTCACCTGGACACCACTGGAACAATGGAATGGACACACAGAAGTCAGAATCCCATGAGGAACCTTCATGAGCGGAATCCCGACTTTTCCCCCGAAATGTCCCGAAATCAGTGAGCTCCTTATGACTTTCACCCATCCCACGTTTGCCATCTGTGAATCAACCGGCAGCTAGAAATTGCTGGCGATTTCCCCGTGGCGGAAAGCCGGCATGAAAACAGGCCGTTTTGCCCGCTCGATGACTCATTGGGCCATGCCCCCAGATCCAACTGGACCTTGGGCACGCAGTGGGCGCTTGGGGTGGTCGTGAGCGCTCAAAAAAGACGGCAAGGCTGGGGAGATATGTGTTGAAAGAGACAACTAAATGAGCCCGGCAGAAAATGGCTTGCCTCCCCAAGAGGAAGCACAGGAAAATTGGGTGGCATGTGTGCCCCTAAAACCGCAGTCTACCAATAATTGCGTGAGTGGCTCATCATGGCATCGCAGGTTGCAGTCTCAAGGTTCCCCTGCCGAGATGTCTGTGCCCAAACAAACTCCAAATGAGTGCAGTCTCTTTTTTAGAGGGACCCCAACAAAGTGGCTTTCCTTTTCATCTGCTTTCCAAAACCACCAAACAAGGGGTACCAACTCCAAAAAGGACGCCCCATGGCGAGATGGGTTTGTTTCGCACTTGCTTCAGCTCCACGAGCAAGAAGCCCACAAGAAGGTCCCTGAAAGAGAGGAGCCTTATAAATCTGGGTGCTCACTCACCTCAAGTACAAAACATGGATTTAAATTGGTGGCTCCCGGCAAGCCCATCCAAGGAATTGCGAACAAGGAAGCTGGGTTGCTGCTGCTGTCGACCCCTCAAAACGCTTGTGCTTGTTTTCCACTTCTTGTGGTGTCCGTGGCAGAAGAAAAAAAATAAAAGATGAAAGAAGAAAAAAAAAACGACCGGTGTCAGCCAAGAAAGTCCAACGATCCGTTTTTTCCAAACCGAAGAAAGCCCAGGAAGCAGTTGGGCTGGGAGTCCGACTCGGGAAGTCCAGGGGGCGCAGCTCCTTGCGTGGTTTGTGTCACCCAAAAGGCGCCCGGGACACGGCACTAGGACGGCTCGGGCGCTTTCTTCGACGAAAACGGCCGTTCAGGTAACCAGCTGGTATCCCCACTTCCTCTCCAAATGGGGGAAGGTAGCCCCACATCCAAACCGCCGAAGCAAACCACCAAGGGAGGGCAAGGTGAGTTCTCCTTTCCGCTTCGCCTTACCGCAAAAAGAAAAAAACAATGTGATCCGGTTGCAAATACCATTTTTCTATTCTGCAAGGAAGTGTCATTGTCTTGGCAGGGGGCGGATGCTTGGATTTGTTGGCTTGCGGCTTACAGTTTTCAGCTTGCAATCTGCAAGATGCTTGCCAACATTTGGATGAGCTGCGTACGGGGGATTTTAGAAACGCGAATGGGCTGGCTCGTCCTTTTTGGAGTTACATCGCAAACCGAACCCTCTTTCCAACTCCCCCGGGCAACCCGAAGAAAAATTCCCGCTCCGGCGAGTTGACAAAGTTCTGGATGCTATTGCCTCGCCAGCGAGTCGTGAACCCATCCGGCCCTGTGTCGAAATGGCCCTGGCTCAAAAAACCGGTAAAAAGGGGCCCTGGTAAGTGGAAACATGCACCAAAACCCGCGGTTTGCCCCTCCGATCGTTTAATTTTGAGCCACACCCAAATAGGGATTTGGACCACCCTCATAGGGTAACTCCCGAAAGGGTCGTCCCCCCTACCTCAAGGATACCCAGCTCATGCGACCGAATGTGCACTTAGCTATGTTTGGCTGAATAGAGGCTGTTGGGTGCTGGGAAGGAGAGGAAGTTTGGTGTGGGCTGCCCACCACTTCGCCTAACTCCTGGACCATTTAGGGTCCCCCTCATGACTAATTGCCCGAAGTGCGCGGCAGCTCACTGGACTTTCATTTCAGGTCATCCCTTTGCATGCGCCCAGGTTCGACCAACGCAGCTATTGTGGCCAATTGATTTCGGCCTGCCTATAATCCCAAACCAACTACTAAAAATGGCCCTTTTGAGGTTTTGGGCGCTGCTTTGCAGTTGCCATTCGGAGAGGATGTCTAGACCAAATCTGTTTGGAGCCCGGCGAAACAAATCACCCCCACACACCTGGAACGACCCAAAGGGAAACTCACTTTGGCCCCCAAGACCTGCTGGTTCGATAGGCAAGGAATGAGTTGAAATGACCCCTAGAAACAATCTTCCCCCATGGCTCACTCCCTACTGCGCACCAGCAAGAAAGGGTGATATTTGCCCCAACGGGACTTTGGGAACCCTGAAGGCGTTTCTCACAGTGGCTCGCGCGAAGAATCATGTCGTACCATGGCGGAAACCCCCCGGAGCAACACGAGGTAGCTGAGTATTTTTCGGGGGACCCCCCGACAACAATATATATATATATATATGCTTAAATATTTCTATATATATATATATATGTTATATTATATAATGGTGGGTTTCCTGTTGGTGTCCATCCAAAGAGGGGTGCCACCCAAAATAAGACACGCCCAGGTGTTCCTTCGAACAGAGAAACACGCTCGGTGCATGCGCAAGCCATCGCTCGTCAAAACACGTTGCACGGTGCCCCAGAAACTACTCACAAAGAAAACCAAATAGCCTGTAGCAACAGAACAAGACGGCAAGTGGCCCATCTCCAAGTTGGGATCTCTGGAACAACCGCGAAGAGAGAGCCGTCCACTCAGGCCCAAGCAACAGCAGGGTTACGTAAAGACACTTTCCCAACGACGCTCGTTGTCCAAGGGACCCCAAGACGACATTCAAACGAAAGCGCCCCGACTTCATTGAGCTTCCCCTCCCGTGCCCCAAGCCCCGATTTGGATGTTCTTTGAGGGCTACCCCCCCCCCCCCCCCGTGTTTTGGTGGTTTTTACCGGCTTGACCCAGCACACCTCTCTCCATCGGCCACAGGCGCCAGGGCCCGGGCCATCCTCCACCTTCCGGGTGCCAGTGACAATCACCTGGCGAAGCTTCAGGCGCTGGCCAGGGGTAAAGTACCGACAAACCCGTAGGAAGCCTCGGGTTCATGGTGGGTAGGGGCGCTGCAAGAACCATGGGCAAAACAAAAACTACAAAAGGTCTTGAAGGGACCTCCGGTTGTTCCGAGCTCAAGCTAACGGAGCGTTTTGAGTCCCTCGGATGGCGTTTGGCCGACTGCGTTCCCCTCATGCAGGCCGAGAAGCAAAGCGCCTACACGGATCTCAGCCCCGATCAGTGGCTGAGCTATTAGGTCCAAACTGCCAGAAATGGCAGTTGGGGCGAATGTTCACCCCGGACTCATCCGGACCAGACTAATCAAAATTGGATCCCTTCTGGGAATCCGTCTATTTCAGGGAGGTCACCCGGTCAGGGGATTCAAGAAGTGGAACAAAGTGGGCTTGTTTTAAGATTTGAAGGGTACCCTTGTGGGGGTTTAGAGACAAACCGACCAAAAACCACCCACGTTGGGGGTGTCCCAAGTTTTACACACACAAACACACAAAACACCCAAGTAGATGCCACCTCCCCAACAGAGGCAGCCCCTTTTGATCCATTCAAGTTGGTGAAAACCGACAGCTTCTTGTTCGCACCCAAAGACGCACGTACCAGCAAACAATGCCTCAGCACGCCGCTTGAAACCCCACGTCTCTCCACATGGCACGCCGTCAACAAGTTGGGAGACCGCATCTTTAGACCAGCGATCGCTGGAAGGATGGCCGCTTTCCGAGTGTCCGAGCGAGCTCCGAGCAATGTCCGGAAGAGCTCTAGAAAGAATAGGGGAGGAAATGTCCAGAACTGTCTTTCAGCTGTGAGACGTTTGGGACCATGTGGCGAACAAAGTTAAGGACGGTGCAATAGTTGGCGCCTCACTCTAAGAGACACGCCGACCTCTCGCTCACACACGGAAACTTGCGTCAGCCCCTTCGTTTGGATCATATTACCTTGAAAGTCCTTTGGTCTATCTCAAAATTGGAGAGCCCCCGATTCGCAGACATAGAAGCCAGTTGCAGGGACATCCAGGGGTGTTTTTCTCGGAACACCCACCTGAGCAACCGGAGATTTGAGCACATGTCCCATAGAATCAGCTTCCCTCCCATTGGTGGTTTGGATTGGGGGAAGGCTTCCCATTTACCCTGTACAAGAACCAGGGGTTCAAATCCCAAACCACCAATCCAAACCTGCCCATCGCCTGGGGCGGCGGTGACATGGCCCGCACACCGCCCAGGTGTAGGGCCCGCTCCCCCTCGATCTCCTGCGAGCCCGCTGAGCCGACAGGCAGGGAAGAACGACCCCCACGAACACTCTGTCCTATGGCTTCCTTTGAGGGAATCCCAAATGGTTCATGTCCCGCGAGATCATTCCCTACCTATCGCACCAGAAAGGAAAGGAAGCCTAGGTCAGAGGAATGGGCAGTTGCCACTTTTCCGTAGTGAAAACAAAGCTCGGGGACCGCTCGCAGATCATGCGCAGCAGGTTTCAGCTGGGCCCCTACTGGGGCCCAGCTGATTTTGGTCCCTGTTCATAACCAATGCGCCAAAATGCCAAGCACAAAGGGTAGTTTGATGATTTCATGATCACATGATCACAGGGGCAGTTTGAATGGCTAACCAACCATATTTTGTCCATGATCACAAGGGTAATTTGAAAAGGTTTAACCCCCCCAGATGTCAAGTTGTCGAAAGTCCCAATTCAAGGTTAGATGACCCCCGCTAACCCCGAGAAAACAGCAGGTCCTTTGGCCATGCTGCACACCATGCATTCAATCAGAAAGCAGCAAAAGTCATCCCAGGTTGACCCAAAGTGCGAAGTTGTGTCGTGGTAGCCACTGTGCTCACCTCTCATCCTCTACTCCGTTGTTTGGATAGGGGATGCAAGCACATCACCTGTCCACGCTGCATCAGATGTTGAGCCTCTCAGCAGTATCCAATGTCCGCGTTCAGCTTCTGTCACCATGTGTACCGAAAACAGGACAACTTAGCAGATGGAAGCAGAAAGAGAAATGAAGAGGGAAAGACCCAACCCTCCAACTGCCTTTTCCAGTCAACCTCAAGTACTGTCCAACGAGCAGTCTTTGGGCTACCCCTGGAAAAGCTCTTGGCCATCGAACTGCAAAGGGCACTGGTCGAGTCCCATCCCAAGTTCCGAGCCGGGCCAAACGGCCTCTCTGGGGCGTTTTGAACGGGGCTGGCTCCCCAAACCAGGGTTCCGTTTGTTTGACCACCCCAAGGTAGACTTAAACCCAAAAGTTCCTCTTTTGGGAAAACCACCCCTGGGTTTAAGCCCACTTTGGGGTTGTCAACAAAAAGGAACCCTGCCCCAAACCCCAATCCCCGAACCCGGGTTGAAAAGCTGCCGGCTCCTCCAACAGCTTGTTGAAGGCGCTGTTGCCTGCAGGCTCCAAACAACTGGATATGGCTATGGGTCAAAATCCACATCGTACCCCCAGTATTCACCTACACCAAAATGTTACCATTGGTTTTGACCCACAGCCATATGGCGAACGTGTGCAACTCACATCGCCTTAGCCGACTTGGGCCAGAGACATGCACCGGGTGGGAAGGGGACAAGTCAAAAGCTCGGCTTTGCAAGACAAGGCGCTGGCAAAATACTCTGGTGAATTGGAGAGATGGGGAACCTATACTAACCTATATCACCCATTGGAGGAAAGGACGCGAACGTCTTGTGCTGTTCATTTTACGCGGCCCCGCAACCCGCAGAATGCGGCGCTTGTGACCACAAGTGTCTCCACTGTCCAATGGTCCCCGGTGCCAGGGGGGGGTGTACATCCCATTATTCCAACATGATACCACGGTCAAAACTCGGTTGGCAACTCTTGATGGTTGGTTCAAACCCAAACAAGAGGTTGACGACCCCCATATCACAAGTGCAGGCTTCGGTCTTAATATGGCACACATGTGGTTCTGGTGGTCCTTTTTGCCCTACCTTTTGCCGCCCAAAAACCGCACCAATCACCCGAAAAAGGCTCGCCGGGTCTCGGGTGCACCAGGCAATTCGGTGCGTTTCCCCAGATTGATGGCTTCAGGGAGTATCATCCCGCAACCACGGGCTCAAGTTCCAATAGCCGCCCAAACAAGATCTGCATCATGCCCTATCATTCGTAGCCAAGTGGCAAACTAGAGAACAACAGGGGGGGGTTATATATTTCCCTGAACAAGGAAACACACAGTGTTTCTTCTCTCGCCACCACGGTGCTCATAGGGAGCTGCCCCTGGTAACTGCGCTCCAGCCGGTTCTGCTCGCGGAAGTATCTGATCGCCTGCGGTCCGGCAGAGACGGTCTGCTGGAGGTACGCATGGTTCATGAAACTAGTAATGTGTGGGGGCTATATAGTCCCCTGTGGCGCGCGCATAGGTTGCCCTGTGGTTTTCTTCACTTTGCGCACTTCGAACTCGTTGCAGCTCACACGTGCCCGTCGTCCACAAAGGGTGTTGGGGGAGGGGGTAACCTCTTCAAAAGTGTCAACCAGGGCCATGGACCGTAGCACTTTTGTTGGCACTCGTTGGTTGAGAAAAACGCGCCTGGTTTTCGTGCATGCTCGCCTCATAAGCATGTCGGCCCACATGAGTAAGCCGAGACATGAGAGTTGAAGTCTAGGTGCTTTGGAAGAAATGATGGCACCTTGGTCGCTCATTTAACGACCTTAAACGGTGAACTCGTGAAAGATTGCGATGGGAATGTAGCCATTTACCCCATCCAATCCGTCTCTGTCTCAAAACGTGCAATGGGTGGAGAGCTGGATTAAACCCTTCCAAATGCGTCAGATGCCAAAGGGCCGGAGAAAGGAACCGGCAAAAGCCGGTCCGGGTTTCGAGATGCAAAAGGTCTTGTCATGGGGGTTTTTGGACCCTTCAAGGGTTCCCTAGATGTCCAAACCTCATCCCAAGAAACTGATCTAGGGTCCAAAAGGTGACGCTCTTAACACCAGCCTTCAAAGGGACATAGGACCCCCTTGTCAACCAGGGCAGCCCCTTCAACCCCCAGAGTCCGCGCCGTTTCGAAAACGAGACAAGTGCTGCCGCGCGGCCGCATCTGCGGACCAGCCCAAATAAAGCACCTGGTGCAGGACGAAGAAGTTGAGAGCTGGGGCTATGCCTTTTGAGGGCACCCTCTTAGGGTTGGTTTAGAGGGAAACCACGACACATTGCTTAAAGCTGTTTAAGTATCTTTGGCTGAGCATAGATGGGCTGCGCTGGTTTCAGTGTGGTGCTTCCAAAGGCGGAGAGCTGTGACCTGCACGCCTCATTCGCTGCTGAGAATCTCAAGCAAATCAGACGTGTAGGAAAAGGCAACGATTGCTTGCGCAGCCGTCCCAAAGCAAGATCAACAAGTCCACCTCAAACAAAACCTTTTTCACAGCAAGTCGAGGCAACCGAGGGGATTGATTTAAGTCGAGGGTATGACCTACGAAACAAAACAGGCGAATGAAAACCTCTTTTTTCAATTGTTGTCGTTGTGTGGCAAAACAAACAGATCACCGCCGCTCATTTGCTCATTTGAGTCACAATCAAAACCCGCTATTAAAATGGTCTACCCAGAACCATGTGAAGAATTAAGAAGGCGGCCGCAATTATTTATGGCTGGGAGTCTCCCTTACTAACCTTCATCTACCCGGGTTTTGAGCACGTGGCTCATTTGCTCATCCCCACTGCCAGGAAACCATGGGACTCCGCCCCCAGCCGCGTTCCCCTCCCGCGTTCCTTCCCGCCGAGCCACGGCGAAGGCGCAGCAGATGGAGCCGGAGCGGTTCTGGCCCCACTCGCCTCGACTGGCTTGCCGGCACCAAGTGACTTGTCTCACTGGGATCGGGACCCGAGGGAACTGGTCTTAGGGGCGTGGCTTTTGCTTCTTTTGTTTCCGGGAAAGGTGGGTTTATCTCCGTCTCAGGGGCGTGGCTTTGTCTTGCTTTTTCTCTTTTATTCCGGGAAAGGTGGGTTTTAGAACTCGAAATGGAACCACTTTCGAAGAGAGAGGCTACTCACTGCCGTTAGTTAACAAGATTCAAAGGTTCTCAGTGTGCGAGGCTGTTGGGGTCATGGTGCAAGGAAGGGGCGAAAGCTAAGCTGAAGCCTCACAGCCCGCAGCCTCGAGGGCGCCCGAAATCTGCCGCCCCTTTACCTGCTTCTACCAGGCCTAAGGTGGCGAGCCTGGATTGAACCGTGCGGAGGAATAGGGTCTGGTTCAACCCAAGCGTCTGTTGATCCCCTCTAATCAACAGGGCTCGATCGACCGGGGGTTGCCACTCTGCAAATATTGCCACTGGCGCTTTCTTGGAACTCCGATAGAGACCCAAATCTCCAAATGCCCACGCTTGATCCGAAAAGAGAAACTTCCCCCTTGGTTTTTTTTCCGAAAGCAAGGCGCGAGAAACTCCCCACCTGCGCGGTCCTCCAAACTCCAAGGAGCTTGGGGCCCCAGCTAAGCCGGAATTCTCCCCCCCAACTCCCCTGAAAAAGCCCGAAGGAACCTTGGCCTCCCAACTACCCCCGTAGCCAAAAGTCTCCCCCGCAACTCCAACCCTTCCTGAGGCCCCTTCTGCATAGGCCAACACGCTCCGAGGCCATTGCAGTGTACCAGCGTCCGCTGCTGTTGCCCCACTGCCTGCGTTAGATAGTGTGTTTGGAGCAAAACCAAAAGGAAACCAAAACCGAATCAAGCGAAAACCAAAAGGAAACCAAAAGGTGAAATTTACAGGAGACTGATCCTCTTTGGAAGGATTTCTGGCTTTGTCACAAAGCCAAGTCGTTGACTTGCCTGGATATTTTTGCCCAAATAGTCTGCAGCGGCCGTTGTTTCAGAAGCAGACGAAATCAGGATATTTCTTGGGGAAGTGATCCATGGAGCTTGTGCTCAAGTGCCCAGCGCCTTTCAGGTACCTTTGGTACCTTTCTAGGGTTTCCGAAACCAAAGGAAGAACCACCATTTCTTGAGATCGATCTGAGCCCCAGCTCATCACTTGTGAAGCTTGGCGCAGCTGGTCCTCTGGCCATGTGTGCCCCTTTCGCCAAATCGATGGATCCCACCGCTAGCAGTTGAACCCGAACTTAAACCAGTGGAATCCTATGTTCAACCAACCTGACCCAAAAAGGACACCATTTCATCCGTGTGCGAGCATGTCTGCTCCAGCAACGTCTCCCCGGAAAGCTCTCGAAACCAGAACCTACTCCTCAGACTTCGCCGGAGTTGACCCGCCATGCAGCAGAATAACAGGCGCGGAGAGGTTTTCGTTGTTCTTTGACATGCGGAATCCCCTCCCAAAACCCCTCCCCAGTTTTGCCCACCCACCTGGCTGAGATGTTGACCCTCAAATCAAGTCATGGCCTTCCCTCCTTGATGCTGATCGAAAAAGAACACCTGACAGGGCCTAAATAAATGTCCATAATAGTAAATTGAGTCATGACCTGGGGGCAACATGTTAGGTAACCTCCAGACCTATTGACCCTCCAAAGAAGTTATGGCATTCCCTCGTTGATGCTGATCGAAAAAGAAAACCTGAAAGGGCCACCTCCAGACCCCTCCGCACCGCCGATTTCTTCACACCGCGCCTCCCACACCAGGCGCGCCCCCTGCAGGATGCAGCTCTTCGCCCTGCGCCGCGCCGACTCCGACTCCGCGCCGTGCTGGTCCTCCTCGGATGGTGGAAATGGATCCCCCCATTAACTCACAAAGGACCCCGAAAATAAATGGACCAAAAAGGGGAAACCAAAAGGTCAAAAAGGTCGATTCGCTTAGCGGCTTTGGGCCTGTGTGAGGTACAAAAATGGGCGGCTTTGGGCTTGCGTGAGGTACACTTAAGGCGGCCTTCCAGAAATGACAATGGTACCCTGCTTTCCCTTCCCATCCAATCCAGTCCTTTTCCTTCCCTCAGGGAAGCCAAACCGAAATTCCCTGCTGGGAGACCTCCGTTTTTCGCCCGCCCAGGTCGCCACCTGAAAACTTCCAGATCGACCCGATCTGCATCAGCTCGGACCCCGGCGAACAGGATCTGGTGCGTCGAGAGCTGCGGCGTCTCTCGACCATCCAGGTTCTTCGGAACCACCTGAGAGAAATCCACCCAGCGCCCAAAGGCGCCCTTCGGAGAAGAAAAGTGAAACGGGATTCCCTCCCCACCTTGCTACGGGTGCTGATCATCTTTCTAGTTCCAAAAACCGGAAATACAAAAATGATGGACACCCAAGTAACGGACCTTCATGTTCTTGCTGGTTGTATCCCTGGGTCGGTGGCCATAAAATACGCAGGTCTAAATCCCCAAGGGCTCCAAGCCCTACGATGGTCAAAGCTTGGGCAGGCGGGCAGGGCTCCCAAGTCCTTGCTTGAAACCTGGCGCTCCTTTCCTACGCCGCAGCCTTCGAGTTTTGCTGACCACCTGACGCGCACCTAGCTCTTCCTTCGCCATGTTGTTTCTGCTCTGAAACGAATGGCTTTCGAGGAGACGGCGCCCGTTTGAGGAAACGCGCACACGCTTGCAAGTCTCACAAGAAAGCTCGGACTTGCTCGAGGAGAGGCTTCCCCCGTGGCATCCCAAACTCTGAAATGGAGGAGGCACGCATGAGGCGGCGAAATCAAATGCTGATACCATCCCGAGAGAAAAGCGCCAGTTTGGCATTGGGGAAAATATTCCCCGTCGCAGTCCATATTGGAGGAATCAACCAAGGGGTAGCCAATAGGTAGATCTTTTCACCGCATAACGAATTCTGGGGTACTGCATTCCATGCGGGTTACTACCCCCATGCAGCCATACCCTAAAAGCTGTTTCAATTTATCCCACCCACAAGTCCCACCCACAAGCTTCTTTTTCTGGTCGGGTGGTTTATGTCTTTTTTTCCCATCCCCCTCAGGCTTTTGTTGGTGGCCTAATTTGTTTAACCACACCTGGGATGCCAACTCCCAACCCCCCGGCTCAACTTTTTAACCATACCCATAGGACACGTCCCCCGGCCGATGTCACTCAGCCCTCTGCGGTGGAGATCACCCGCTGGAAGTCGCTGGCCGCGGCGCTGTACCTCGACTTTTCCGCCGGCGCGGGCGACCGGCGCGCGGGTGGCCGCGAGGACCCGTGAAGAAGCTCCCGGGTCCAGGAATTTCTGGCAGAAACGCGTCCTCACCTAAGAGGAATTCCTTGGTACTGTGGGGTTTGTCAAAATCATGGGACTTTTGAAGTTTCAAGCATCACCTCTTGTAAAGGTCGATATAATGTGAGCTGCCTTTGAGTGAGGAGAGCGGTCTGCAAACGTCACTAAACAATTCGCCCCTCGCCATCTTGAAAGGGAAAGCCAAAAGGTTGCTCAGAGTTTGGAAACGCTTCCTGACAGCAAAGCTCTTTATCCCAAGGAGGTTGTCCATGGTTTTGGGAGTTTCCTTAGGCGCAGAAACTCGCTCCTACAGCCTCGCTCGACGTTTCCACCATGCAAAGGAGTTGTTCATAACCCAACCGCTAGTTTCGAAGGGGCTCCCACCGTGGCCTGGGATCTGCGGCAGTTAGGCAGCCCAAGGGCTGGTGATTTCCTGGTGACCAAACACCACCAGCCAAGACACTCCCAAGGTGTTCACTAAAAGTACCACACAGTGAAGTAACAACAAAATGGTCAACATACCCAACATGCGCAACCATCCCCTTGTTTTGTCCAACCCAAGGGTCAAACTAAGCTAAGACTTCGCGAGACGGCCTGGCCCTTGCCGGGCGAGGAGCTGATTCCCACAACACCTGGGCGCGTGCCGATGTGACTTGTCCGACTCATCAGTGGGAAAGTTGTCGTGTTTGCCCTGTCTAACTTGCTCCATTTGGCGGGAAAACTAACTCTGCGTTGCCCCAATGGGAATTCCATGTTAAGGATTCAAAAGGGTCAACCCCCACACGCTTGCTCGGAGCAGCTTCTTGATTTGACTGCAATTCTCCCTCTCCAGTTGGGCCGGCACTGAAGCTGTGGACCTTTCGTGGTGAGAACTGGTGTGGCACAAGCAAAAAAGGCATGCAGACCAAAAAAGAACTTGGCAGCCAAAGATGCTCCTGGCAACCTTTTCCAATTTGACAACCTTGTCTGACTTCTTTGACCTTTGAGCCAAGCAAAAGAAAAGAATACCTCATCCCCTTCTCCACCTTCGAAAGTGTGGCGAATTTTGATCAGTCCAACTGGACCACTACTCTTGTTCAATTACGACCAGCGTTTGGTTTCTTTCTTAAAGGGTCCACGACAACTAGTTCCCTTTAACAACCAAAAAGGGGGAGTTCCCACCATGGAAAAGGTCCATGGCAGCCGCTTAAACCAACTTCGCCCTGATCACTGGGGTCATGGTCTTTGACTGCTGGGACTTATCAAAGTCAGCAACTGGGGTAGTTTCCCTTTCACCCCCCACTTGAAATAAGTTTGATGGGTTTTGAAAACAATGAATGCGACTTGAGCCCGGTTTTTTCCATGCAGCGTTTGACTGCAGGAGGTCTCCCGGAGGTCCACATCCGTACATGGTCGCCCGGACCGGGGCCAAAAAAAGACGCCCGTCTGGGGCCCCGCGCAGCCAGGGGCTCCAGCGCGGCAGCGGCGCGTAGCCGGGCCGGTCCTCGTAGCCGTAGGGCCGCTCCTCCGTCTCGGTGGGCTCTGAGTCCTGAGCCATGAAGGTGAGGGGGGATGGGGGGGGGCGGATGGCGGGGTTTGGGGGAGTTGGGGGAGTTGGGAAAGTTGGCGGAGTTGGGGGAGTTTGGGTTTTGGGGGAGGGTTGTGAGGATCTTGGAGAGGGGAGGAGGCAAACAAGCAAGTGGGGGCAAATGAAAACTAACGCCGGTCAAACCTCGCACATAGTCGTACTTGCCTGCATGGCCTTTCTTTTCCAGCCATTTGCGTAGGCGTATGCGACCCTGCCCGCATGGCCATTTTTGTTCGGTCACCCTATGACTTGTGTGACCCGTAAACGGGTCAAGGGTCATATGGGCGTCAAGTGCAGTTGATTCCCTATATAAAGCAAGTAGGGAACCCATACTGTAATTGACTATGACTGTCGGTTGAGTTGCTAAGTTTAGGAAGAGGCGTTGCAAGGTGCCCTTTGAGTCTTGCAACCCTTGCCATGTTTCTGTCAGGCTCACACGCCGAGTGCCAACGTAGGCGGCCAAGCGCCTTTTGGTGTCCCTACGAAGCGGACGAACCGCGTTTTGAGCGCGCAAAACTGAACCGCGACCGCGACCCAACAGAACCACGTTTGGAACAAACAGAAATCGCGTCTTGTCGAAAATCGTGTCTTGTCTTTTGAGGACTACACACAGCACTATTTACGGGGAGCACTAAGCACAGCACCAGCACTACGGGGAGCACTACGGGGGAGCACTGCCATGGTAGAGCTACGTGGAACAGACCCGAAAGGCACAGAAAGAGGACTGGAGAGAGACGAAAGAAGAACCCGACGGAAACAGAGGACCTGAAACACGGAAAAAGAGGACCCGAAACACAGAAAAAGAGGACCAGAAACGCAGAAAAAGAGCTCCCGAAAGGTAGACAAGGAGGAGAAACGAGCTACGAAATAAGCAAATGTATAGCAAATCTCCAAAAACGTGAAACTGGAAAAAGGAATCACAAATGCTTGCTGCTGTTCTCGACATCCTGTCGCTGTTTCAGATATCCTGCCGCGGTTCCACTATACCCCAGTGTCCCTACAACGCTGAGATTTGTTCTTAGGGCAAAAAAAACAAACCAAACACAAAAGAACTTGGGAGTTTCCGCAAAATGGCCCTTGTTCGGAGGCCCCACCTGGGCGTTCCTTTTGCAAACCCCAGCCCGGCACGCCCAACACCCCACCCGGGCAGCTCGATCCTCGGAGGCGTGCCCGCAGGCGCAGGACAGCAGCGCCGCCATGGAAGGCCCAAGTGCTCGGCTCGGCTTGGGGGAAATCTGGTTGGAACCCCTTCACCGATTTCCCACTGACCAGCACCGGAAGCTCCCGGCCAGAAGAGAAGTCCCGTACATGGAACAGAAAACAGGTGCAAGCTGGCGGCGTCACATGGAACAGGAAAAAAAAGGAAGGCGCCGCCAAAAAAAGACAGAAACAGGTGCCAGTGTTGCTGTCTTTTCCCAAGGGTTCGGCGATTGGACCATTGATCACCCTGAGAATGGTAATTTGGATGGGTTGTTTAGGGAAGCGTTTGCACTTGACAGCATGTGGAAAGACCTCCAAACCACAACAATTCGCACAATCAAGAGCTGGATTCTCCACACAAGTGAACCCCAGAGAACCTCCCAGGGCGATGTGACCCCCAAGAAACCCGGAGCCGAGCCTGTCGGAGGGCGACGGAGTATCTGGTCAGGTTTGGCACCAGATTTCGGCTGAATCCGAACGGATTCTCACTGAAGTGGGTTGGCGTTTGGAGTGAACATCATGTATGGGAGTTTGTGTCCACCCACCATTATTGAGGGTGTTGGTTTGGCATCTCAACCCTTGTTTTGTGCAGGGGCAGCTTGTCAGCAGCCCGAGGTCACATGCCCGTCTCTTGCGTCTCACTTTCTGAGTTCTGGGTTGCGAGTGTGCATTCATCTGAATCAAAAGTTGGTGGATGTTCACAAACCACTCCTTGGCAAGGTCTGTCATGCAGAATCAGTGCGAACGCAATGAAACGCCACACAGTTGGTGCCGGAAAAATAGGCAAATCCCTCCAAACACTTGGTTTGCTGTAGACGTCCCGTTTCAAACCATCCAAAAGAGGCGAGGGTCATGAGACCTCCAACCCGGGCGGCGCGGCGAGCGGCGATTTCCGCCAGATCTCATGTCCGGCATGGCGCAAACTTCACGCTTGCCTATGGTACAAGACCCCGCATGCAACTGGAGAAGCCAACCTCTCAGTCGTGACCTAGTCGATTTTCTTTTTGGAAGATACATGGCACTAGAGAATGATGAGAATCAGCTAAAAGATCGTCAAAAGGACACCGTGGATGGACGAAATCCTGCACCACTTTGAAACGATGGGAAACCCTTGTTTGTCGCTATTTTATGAGGAATCGCATCATTCCAGGGTTTCGGAAATGTGTGAAATGGATGTTGTCCATCCACGGCTATGAGCTATGATCCCTGTGCTTTTGCTCTGACGTGTGCCTTTGGCCCGGCTTCCACCAGCGCCCGAGCCGCGGTGTTCGCGGCGAGCTCGCTCACTCGGCCTGCTCAGACACAGCCTGGCCGAGACCAATGGACTTGTGGGAAACTGGCCGCCGAGCTCTTGCCAAATGGGAATGGCCCACCCATGTCCACGCAAAACATCTGCATAATCTGACATGTGTATATACAAAAATATACATGTCAATAGACATCTTCATTCATAGATGTCTCTTCAGCCGGGATATGGAACCAGGTTGTTTTTAGCGTGCATTGTTGCCCGGATAAATTGCCGCAGCTGCTCTCAGGAATCGTCGGGAAGCTCAGCCGCAAGTGATATCATGGCTGCAAGTCATAGAGGCAGCAACCCCGCAGTCAGGTTCCTTGGGATTCTCTTGCTTCAGCTTCTCACTAATTGGTGCTTTGGATTAGTGGCTTGGTGGTTAAGGTTCCCATTCAGCTTCCACACAAGAACCAGGGTGGGAGGGTGTCTCCCCACTAAACCCGAAGGGTCTAAGCTCCAAAACCGGAGCTTCAAAGAGGCACCTGCAAAAACCGCCCGGCCCGCAGCGCTCGCAGCCTTTTAGAAAGATTCCAAAAGCCAACCCTCTCGCACTCCAAACCCCCCCAAAAAAAAACCTCCAGACCATAGCCCCAAAACCCCCAAGAGCCAAGCCTTAGGCTCCGAACACCCATGCCCCGACGCCCAAAAAATGGCCCCCCCGCTGGGTCGCGGAAAGCGCGGTCGCGCCTCGCGGCAGAGCCGCAGCGCCTCCCAAAGCTCCACCACCTCCGACAGGAGGCGCAAGGGGCTTCTGGTTCCCTGGCAACCCCTGACGGTTTTCCTCTCACAGGGCAGCAACTGTACCCAAGACAGACATGGAACCTGAAAGGCGGGTTCTGGAGACCAGTTTCCTACAGGGACCCTCTTGCATGCTCCTCTTGTGCTTTGAACGTATCACTTTCAAGGGGAGCGCCCCATTGGCCACGTGCAAAAGGAGAAGCATTCCCCACACACACACACACATGAGAATGATTCACACTTCGACCAGGACCCCTTCGATGAGAAGGTTCGGAGGGCAAGTATAATCAGATCTCTGACTTTTGACAGATGTTGACACCTCCAAAAGGGATGAAGCATCCCTTCGGGTAAGCTCCAACCTGAGTCGCAATCAAACCTGGAATAGAGGGAGTCTAAGCAAAGAAATGCAAAGAGTCGAGGCGGGGGGAAGAAGAAAAAAAACTTGAGCCGCCTCAAGTTTATGATCTGGGCAAATTGCTCTGATTCAAACCCCAAAGCTAGGAATCCTGGGTCCCCGCCTGAACAAACCCCCAAAACCCTCGCCTCATGCTGCAGGCGCAGGCACTGCCGCCGACGCCTCGCCGACCTGAAATCGGGATCGATCCCAGGAAATCGGTAGCGATCGCACACGACCTCTGGGCTTTTGCCTGCGGCATTGCTTGTGCTTCCCCCGAAAGGCGTTGTTTTTTGTCTCTGGCCATGGGGTGCCTTGAAGAAAAACGGGGCTTGGGAACCAAATTGAAAGCCCACCTCATTTTCAGGGGACTCTTTGCGTAGATCATTGCGTCGGAGGCCTTCTTACCTCGGAACCCCAGGTACCTCATGAATCTGGAGGGCTCTTGAGGAACCTGGGAAACAGACTCAAGCATGTCGTACCAAATTGATTAAACCAGCTGGACCCGATGAACTTGGCTTACAACAAATTGATCGAGTGGTTTGTAAGATAGAAACCGTTGGTCTGCTTTGTATAAACCGTTCATTGCATGTGGATCCAGCCCGCTCGGCTCCGGGCTCAGCGGCCGCCTGCGCCGCGGCCACATAGATGGACAGACCGACACACGGACAGACTGACAGGCAGACAAACGGACAAACAGACACACCCACAGCACACATGTGCATATGCATATGCACATAAACATGCATGTACATGTATGCGTTCATATATGCGTGTGCGTATGTGTAGAAGGACATTACGACCATGGGGCCCGCGGTGCTGAGGGCATATCGAATGGAACATGCTGCAAATGTGTTGGGTATGCCAAGTATGTGTCCGAAGTGTACATATACGGCTAAGTGTCACTGTACATGAACACGCGATTAACCTGATGTGTTCTATGTCCAATGCGTACCTGACGTCAGCCAAGCATGAGAAAAGCAAATCTGCAATAGAAGTTGCGTGTCCCGAGCATGTATCCAGAATATGCCTAGCAAGGACATGTTAATTCCAGTGTGTTCTCCAACTTGCATGGCCGTGCTTCAAAAGCCTGGCTCTGGATATTTGAAACTCTTGCGATTGCTCGAACTACAAGTATCTAACATGTTTCTCGCAACTGTCTAAGCTGGCAGTACATCAAGCTGCTGTCGGAGCATGTGGAGTAGCCCAGTCACGACTCACTATCTGCAGTATGTCTACTCAAGAATGTCTGGCATGTGTCCATCTTGGAAGTACGATTATTTGGCTAGTCAAAGCTAGCTCGTTACAAACCCAAATGGTCCGTCTCAGCTTCCTGTGTTTAACATGTTTTTGTCTCTGAATTAATGATGGAATCCAAAATGACCTGTTTCCTTTGATTTCCCTTTAAAGACCAAACCACAAGCACCACCCCGCAACGCCAACGCAAGTCTTCGGGCCCCACCCCCGGTTAGCCTCGTCCGGAGCATGGCGCTCCTTGCAGTGGCTCGCCGCCTCACGGCAGCCGAGTTCTACTGGACGGGACCCGTGGGGCTTTCCTACAACCGAGGAGCAAAGGGTGGGGGACTTTCCAAAGAACCAACCTCACGAGACGGCTTCCTACAACTTGTCAAAGGGCACCAGCGCCCGCTTTTCAGGAATTCAACTTTTCAATTCATAGTTTTCCGGTGCAGCCTGAAGTGAGAAAAGAACTTTGTGGATGGTGTCAGGGGCAAACAAAGGCAAACTATGAAAAGCAGGCCAAAACCACCTAACAAGTATCCAGGAACCAAGACCACCCCCAACCACATAGCTGTCGCTGTTGGGCGAAATAACTCGACTCGCACTTCAAACGCCCATGTGATCCGTGGCCAAACATGATCATCCCTAGCAAGCAGAAATAAAGGGATCTTTTGACCGTAGCATGTTTTTGCGGATGGTTCGCCTGCCTGCGTCCGCGCCTGTGCCTGCGCTTGCGCCTCACAGAATTCAAGATCCGGTTACTCGAGTGGTGTCTCGACATGCGGTAGGTTACAGCCTTTGCGCCAATGTCCTGCTGCCAAATCCATTTACACGATCCCTGAAACCTGATGCCTGCTGAGTTGATATACGTGATATAGACTCATCCGTTCGCGAAGTCCACCCAAACACATGCAAAGAATCAAGAGGAAAGCCGGTTCAAGCTGGGCCATCGGGGACAAGCCGCCCATGGAAGAGTAGTGTCCTGCCCCCTGGAAGAGTACGTCGCTGTGGGTCTCAAAACCAAACATGAAGGAGACTGTTCTCCGCTACGCACAAGTCCCATCCTCACAAGTTCTTCCTTCAAACCCAGGACATGGTTGCCCACTTAACAGCTTAAAATCAATACCTGGAGTCAAAACGGTCTACCCTCGCAAGCTTACACAAAGAAGCACCCAAGCTTGCCTTCCTGGTTCAGGCCACAACACTACAGCACCCAAGCAACAAAGTCGTGGTCGATGAATGCGATTCCTCCCTCCAACATCTCCAACTTCCATAACATTCCCGAGGCGAAACGCGCGGAATGTTCGACGGCGGGGATGGCGTAAGCTGCAAGGAAGGAACTTGACGCAAAGGCCACAAGCGTTCTGAAGTGTTTGGTTGCATGCGTGCTTGCCTTGCCTTGCCTTGCGTTGCTTGCCTTGCCTTGCTTGCCTTGCCGTACGTGCGTGTGTGCCGTGCTTGCTCGTTTGCTTGCTTGCTTGGCGGGTTACTTGGTTGCTGCCTGGATGCCTCGAAGTTGGCGGGCTAGCAACTACAAGTTCGACAACCCCTCTCCGTCCACACCTTTTGTGTCATACTGTGGGTGCACGAAATCCATTTCGCACCACTTGGGATAGATCGGATAGATGAAACAGAAATAATGGGATAAACCACCTTCCATTTGTCCATCCACAGCACCTTGCAAAGAACGGTTGCCCACACACATGGAGGTCATCGCGCATAGCAAATCTCCTCCCCATGCCTAGGGTGCACTCTGCAAGAAGAAGCTCACAAACGGGAAAAATGGAATCCCCTAGGGCCATAGCAACAACCATGGGTGAGCTCCTTTTGCCTCTTCCAAAAAAGAGCAAGCCGATGACTTTTTGCCCAGCAGACCGTGAGCCCTGACCTCTTTGGGCCGCTTCGCATGGCTTGGGAGGGATTCTCCCGGACCGGGCCAAGAGAACAAACGGAACATCCAGTCCGGAGTGTTCAGAAATCGGATCCCCGATTTTTCGCATCCATGATCCGCAGTGGGACACCACAAGGGAAACCACCATCTGGTTTCCAAGAAATGAGGATTGAACAGTGCTTACACCGAAAAGTGACTACGCATTTGCAGTACTCGCTTTAGCTTCTCAAAGTGGAGTCCAAGCTTGGCAGTCATATCCAAGGGTTCAACCCAGCCAGTTCATCTCGTCTGTGGAATGTGTTGGGTTGTCTTTGCTTAGAGGACGCTCCAAGATGGTGTTGCTTTTGATTGTCCTTCAAAACCGCCAAAAAGGGGGCACCCTCAAAACAGACACAGCCATATGTACAATCTGCTGCACGGCTTCCACAATCAGCTGTCCACCTCGAAGGGTCCCTCACAGCTCGGCCAACTCTGCCAACCGCTGCAGCAGCCCAGGGGCAAAGGCCAAACGCCCGCAGGCGACGCAGGCCTGGTTCTTCCACACAGGACACGTCGGTTGAAGCGACTCGCCAAAGATTGCACAGCTGACTCGCTCGTCTTGCACGGCGTGGCAAAAGTCTGATCCCGGCAAGCAGCTTTGACCCCTGTCCAAGTCGCAGTCGCAACTCATACATACAACTGGCCTGGAAACCTGAAAGCCAACAAACAAACGGCTCAACAAAACGGCTCAAACTAACAGCTCAAAAAAACAGCTCAAAAAAACGGCTCAAAAAAACGGCTCAAAAAAACGGCTCTTGCAAACAAACCCGGAAAAGCAGCTGCCACCCCTCTCCCCCCCCCCTCGGTCCCGAGGGCAAAGGCCGGCCTTCAGGGCTGCACCCCAGGCCGGGGCTCGCCCTTCCGCGCAACAGAGGGCCGCACGCCACTGAAGCGCCTGACAACAAAAACGAGCCAACGTCAGGGGCTTGGAATATATTGATATATATATATATATGTATAAATGTATATGTATATAATGATGCTCATTCACTTGGTCTTACCACCCTAGTTTGCGAAAAGAGCCTGTTGTCACTTGTCCAATGCATGTCCTCCGTGCAGTGAAAACAAAGTCATGGTCACCCTGACTAAAGGAGCACCTTTCATCAAGTCGGGCTGAGGGAAGGAACCCATTCCCCTTAAAGCAAACCACTTGGATGGTCAGGGCCCTATCCACATCCCCACCCCCACCCACCCCACCCATCCCCTCCGCCTGAGCACAGGCCTCCGCCGCCGCGTTCCACCCCGCCGCCCCCGCCCGCGGCGCCAACTTCAGCGCCCAGCGCCACCGCGCGGCCGCGCCCGCCGCGGCGGCCGCGGCGCTGGCGCTCTGCGGGTCCTCGCCGACGGAACCCGGCGGAACCCGGCGGAACCCGACTGTGTTGTTTGACCTCCTTTTTGCGAAAGCGTACAAAAGACTGTGTGTGTGTGTTGTTGTTTTTCCCCGGACAAATAACCAACAGAAAGCACTTGGTTGGAGTCATTGGCAGTCCAGGCGGCAGAAGGTTTGACCTGGATAATCCACCAAACAAGAAGGGATTGAGAGGGTGGAATCCACTAAACTCGGCATCTGTGTTTCCCAGAGGGAAGGATACCTCTTCAATGGGAACCCCCGTGGAATTCTATGTATCTGGTTCTTTGGTGGCCTTACACCTAGGGATTGGCGAAGTCTTTCTTGCTTCAAATCAGTCTGGGTTCTCCGGATTTCCAGCCGAGCATCACAAGAAAAGGAAAGCAAAGGCGTGTTCAAACCAGGGGGCAATATGGGTCTGTCTGTTTTTTTGTAGGCTACCACATTCACCCTGACTTCAAGGACAGTCAAAAAGTCAGGCCGAAATCCGTTCTTGGGGTTCCGATTCCTATTTTGACATGGACACACACACACACACACAGAGACACACACACACACACACACTATGCTGTGTCTTAAAATAGCCCCAAACAACAATAAAAATAGTGGCGTCCCTCTCAAACCACCCCAAAAAAGGGGTGGCATTAAAAAGGGACCCACCTTGTGCGGACGCCCTGGGCGAACCCCTCGGCTCGACGTCCGGGTGAATTTCTCCTCCGTGAGTCGCCTTCGAGGCATCTGACGCAACAGCTCCAGCGCCTGTTGCCAGCGCCGGCCCATCGCGCAACCAGCGATCGCCTCGAGGGGCCCTTTGGTGGACATCGTTTCGGAATCCATGTCCACGGTCAAGTGATCATTGCTGTGCCTAAAGAGGTGTTCTGCCATTTGCGTTCACAGCCAAGTCCCCCCCCCAATATTTGCCACGGTTTGGACCACTGAGCTGTTAGGGTTCCTTGTATAAATACAGGTACCCTCACAGAAAGACGGGACCCCAGTGTAGATTTGAGAAACCCGAGTGGCTTCCTGTTAAAGTGTCCAGAAAAGGCACCACCTTCTGGAAACAGACCACTTACTTCCGGAGTGGATTGCCCACGACGTACCACTACAATGGTTTTGCCCAAAAGATTGAAGTCCAGGCGCTCAGGAAAATGATTGAAGTCCAGGAGCTCAGGAAGTGAGACAACCCAAAGATCGAACAAGCCTCCCCACAGTTGTGCCTCAGCGATATGGGTGTGTCGTTGTTGGAGTTGGGGTCCGCGAAGTGTGGTTGAAAGACAACTGAAAAAACACCCACCCAACCTGCAAACCCGTACAACTACCCCGTCAATATGGTCCGTTCCTTTTGTCTCGCAGATTTCGAAATAAAAAGCTTGCCAAGTTGTAGAAACCTGACATGCATAGCATAGACATGCATGTCACCTGTTTTTGTACATGTCTTTGGTCGGAAAGGAAACGATACCCGTGCCCGGGCCCTTTTTCCAGGTTCGTCAGTGTGGGATTAGACCCTACACTGATGCATGTCAGACCTGAATGAATTGCTGCTGTTCTTTCTGTTATGTATGTATGCATGCATGTATGTAATGTATGTAATGTATGTATGTATGTATGTATGTCTGTCTGTCTGTCTGTCTGTCTGTCTGTCTGTCTGTCTGTCTGTCTGTCTGTCTGTCTGTCTGTCTGTCTGTCTGTCTGTCTGTCTGTCTGTCTGTCTGTCTGTCTGTATGCATGCATGCATGCATGCATGCATGCATGCATGTATGTATTGTATGTATGCCTGTATGTATGTCTGTATGTATGTCTGTCTGTCTGTCTGTCTGTCTGTCTGTATGCATGCATGTATGTATGCATGCATGTATGTAATGTATGTATGTCTGTATGTATGTATGCATGTATGTCTGTATGTGTGTATGTATGTATGTATGTATGTATGTATGTATGTATGTATGTATGTATGTATGTATGTATGTATGCATGTATGTATGTATGTATGTATGTATGTATGTATGTATGTATGTATGTATGTATGTATGTATGTATGTATGTTCTGTATGTATGTATGTATTCATGCATGCAATGCATGTATGTATGTATGCATGTATGTAATGTATGTATGTCTGTATGTACGTATGTATGTCTGTATGTATGTATGTCTGTCTGTCTGTCTGTATGCATGCATACATGCATGCATACATACATGCATGCATGCATGCATGCATGCATGCATGCATGCATGTGTGTGTGTGTGTGTGTGTGTCTGTATGTCTTCTGTATGTCTGTATGTATGTCTGTCTGTCTGTCTGTCTGTCTGTCTGTCTGTCTGTCTTTCTTTCTGTCTGTCTGTCTGTCTGTCTGTCTGTCTGTCTGTCTGTCTGTCTGTCTGTCTGTCTGTATGTATGTATGTGTGTGTGTGTCTGTCTGTCTGTCTGTCTGTCTGTATGTATGTATGTATGTATGTATGTATGTATGTCTGTCTGTCTGTCTGTCTGTCTGTCTGTCTGTCTGTCTGTCTGTCTGTCTGTCTGTATGTATGTATGTATGTATGTATGTATGTATGTATGTATGTATGTCTGTCTGTCTGTCTGTATGTATGTATGTATGTATGTATGTATGTATGTATGTATGTATGTATGTATGTATGTATGTATGTATGTATGTATGTATGTGTGTGTGTATTTAATGTAATTTAATGTAATGAAATGAAACGAAACGAAACGAAATGTATTGTAATGTAATGTATTGTAATGTATTATGATGTAATGTAATGTAATGCAATGCATGTATGTATATACACTATTGGTTGAAAACCCGGCATGCTACAAACCCATCCCTTACTTTTCTGTCATCTGTCCAAATGAGGAGACACCAAATCACGTTGGCACTCCAAGTCAGACGCATTTGCTCAGCAGTCGCCCAGGAGGCACGAGCCAAGTTTTGCCCACGAGCTCAACAAACTTCAAGCTGGGAAGCCTCTGATTCTTCAGCAACGCTCCCACTTCTGACCGCACCGCCTCCCATCGGACTGGCTTCGGCCGAGTCACGCTGCTGAAGGTGGCGTTGTCTGGTTCAACCTTGGCCACGCGTCCCCAAGCACTGCCCTCTTTCAAGATCATCGATCTCCAAGCTGCAAACGCGCCTTCCAACAAGCTCCACCAACCATGTTTGATGCTCCACCCATCCCACCTTCGCCCTTCGGGCGAATGGAATTGCAAAGACCCTCACCTGCCGTCGTCCAAAAACCAAAAAGCGCGGGGCCGCCCCTTGTTCTTTTTGCCGCGAGGCGGACTCAGCGGGCATGGCGGCCAGGAGGTGCAGCGCCATGCGCCACTGGGACCTCCCGCAGGCGCTGAGGGCCGCGTTGAAGCTCACCACGGAGGGCGCCGCCTGGGGCCCAGGGGCGCTCAGGGCCGGGGGGGGGTTTTGGGGGGGCGGGGGGGAAGGTGGAGGGCACTGGGAGGGCCACAAAGGCAAAAGTCGGGAATCGCTGGGGCCTGCCTGGAAGGTCGTTTGAGGTCCTGGAAGTGATCCCAGTGACAATCGGGAAGGCCAAGCTCCCGACATGTCCGCCTCCCCAAGCTACATCGGCAACTTGAGCAACAGGCCTGAAGGATCCCAATCGTGAATCTGTTGTTCAATACCCCTATCCAGGTAGGTTGAAAGAGAAACCAGGAGCACATGCCAGGAGCACATATTCGGGATTCCCCTATGTTGACACAAGTGGGAGTCTCAACAGGATTCATCTGGGCGGCTCGGATCCTTTTCTGAGTTGGTTGATCGGGCACCGCCCCCTTGTGGGTGTGCCTCACCGTTGGAGGGAACCCCCCCCCCATGAGAGACGGACGGGTTCTACCTGGAGTCTCCTTCTGACCCTTTAAAAATGGGGGTCATCACCCAAAAACAAATATTATGGACCCAATTGAAAAGGGTCAGAAGGAGAACCCCCCCCCCCCCACCGACCCCTCCCCCCCCTAAGAGAAAGACGGGTTCTGCTTAGATCCGGGCTCAACTTTTGTAACACGCCGTTCATCGCAGGGCTCGCGCCTCCAGGCGCGCCATCTGGGCAAGCAGCTGAAGGGCCAAGTCCCAGCGCTGCGCCTAGCTCAAAAAACAGCGAGACCAGAGGTGTGGGTCACTGGTCTTCTTGTGTCTCAAAGGAAAACCACAAAAAGTACCTTCCTCTGGTTTTGTTCCTCTGTGAATTGGTTTCTTCCCTTTGAATTGTTCCAAACAGGCAAATCCTGAAAAACCTCCAAAGCCTTGGCTCATATGTCCCCAAGTTCTGTCCTTTGACTTGCCTTTCAGCCGCACATTTCCGGGCGAAAGAAACACCCCTGGGTCGAGACCGCCTTCTCAGCCGCTGTGATCGCAGCGTTGAAGCTCACCGAGTTCGCCACTACCCGCGCTGAAGGCATGACATGCCTTGGCTCAAACGGGCGCGCGGACCCCACCTTTTGGTGCCCCCAACACGGGGTGTGGAAAAAAACACTAAGCGCCATTTGGGCGTTGATTTTGAGGGACCGTGTCCAACGCTTACAATTCATCGATTCATAGACCACATGGGAAAACCAGCTTTTGTTTGGGGGGTTTAAGGAAAAAACACACATGTGGCTGTTTTGAGGGTACCCATATTGCGCCTGTTTTTTTTTCCTCAGGAAACCAACGGAAACCAGAGGGGGTGGTCCCCTATTTACTCCCTATTTTGAGACAAGCCAAAACCGTGTTCTTTTGAGGGGGGTCTTTGCTGAGAAGGGACCTGTGGGCTCCATATGGGGAGGGCGAGTGGCAGTGTTCATTGTTTTCCACTCGGGGGCGAGGAAAAGCATGGCTGAAATCGACTCCTGTGAAAACCTGCACGCGTTTAAACGGTTCACCAAGAGGTGAACGTTCAAGCCTAAGCCTGTATCAATCTGCTTCTTTTTTCATCCTGTTAGTCAAGGGCCGAAGAAGTAAGATGCTTCTCAAGATGGACCCAAATGGCCCAGACGTCCTTCTGGGTAGGCGTCAAAGTAGAAATCATGAAAATCCAAAATGTATGGCGTCCTTTTGGCTTCCCGTTGAACCGATCCCCAAGAAGGGGTAAGTACCCAATAAGCCCAGCTGCAATGAGCCCAGCAGCTCCAGAACTGGAACTCTTTCAGTAGGAAAAAAGCAGCCAACTAAGCAACCAGCCAACCAAAAAACCACACACCTGTTGAGAAGCCCTGAAAATTCAGAGGAAAACAAGCTGTTGGGAGAAAACAAACAAACAAACAAACAGACAGACAAACAGACAAAAATCGCAAAACGAGGCCCGACACACACCCAAATAACAAAGGAGGAAAAAAGAGAAAAGAAAAAAACAAAAAAAGAAGAAGAAAAACGAAGCCCCACCGTCCGCGTTTTTTTCCTGCGATGTTTTTCGCCGTGCCGCAGCAAGCTTAGCGCCTGCTCCCAGCGAGCGCTGCGCGCGCAAGCGCTCAGCGCCGCACTGAAGCTCACCACGGTGGCCTGCGAGTTGAAGCTCACATGAGTCACTTGCTCAAAGCCCGGTGTTCAAATGGTCCAAGCAGAAATAGCCACGTAAAGAACTAAGAAGGCGGATATCCGCAACTATTTCTGGCTGGGACTGCCCCTTACCTTCATCTACCCGGGTTTTGATTGTAGCTCACATGGCCTTCAACTTGCGTCCCAAAGAGATGCACAGCAGCCACTGAGCCGGGCGCGATGCTTGTGTGCTCTCAAGAACGCTTGGCGTCATTGGCGCTGCGTATGGAAAGGAAACTTGCGAGTTCCCCTCCCAGTTCGCCTGCAAGCCTTCACGTCTGGGAATCCCCCGAGCCATGAGAGAGACGAAACTTGCCGTGCAAGGGAAGACTGAGCGCACATGAATGTGCAGACCTGTATTTTTCCCTGTGGACCTTGCCCACCTGCAAAAAAGTGGAGCCGAACCAACTTGGTGAATTTAAAGGTTTGCGATGGTCAGAGTGGCACAAGCAAGACCAGCGCCCAACACGAGCGGTTGGACAAAGGTTTTTGCACCCATTGAGCTGGCGAAAGAAAATACTGGTGCACCGTATCTAAATGTTCGTTGCTGCAAACCTCATTGGCACTTGGCAATGGACCACATGGCACAGTAGTTGTGCGGCAGTCTGAGCTTTTGGCTGCATCAACGTGCAACAAGCGCAACTTCTAGCGAGAATAAGTCCAACTCCGCCCTTCACTCCGCGTGTCAAAGCCATTGCCGAAGTTCTGCCAGCTCCCTGTTTAAAACATGTGCAACGACCCTTGTTGTAACAACCTCCTTTGGGCTTCCTTTTGAACAACAGGGCCTACAACCGGTCGGATGCTCGTAGCAACTCAAGCGGCGCCTCCTTCATCTGTGCCAAAAAGTACAGGGCCCACTGCCACTTGTGGCCCTTTTCACAAGCGGAGATAGCGGAGTTGTACATGATGGTGTTCGGGCGAATCCTGATCTGCACTGAGCCCCACAGGAACTGGGCTGTGCAAAAGGCGGGGGGCAGGGGGGCCCGATAAATGGGTCAAGACCAACAGTGGGAGGGAACCTTTAGATAAGGGAATCTTCAGATGCCCAACAGGTGTCTCCTCTTTTGGATCCCTTCTTACCCACATGGTGTACTGTCATTGCATTGACTCAAGGGAAACAAAGGGGGCCCGCGCCTGATCCATTGTGGGACGACAAGGGAAACCACTACTATCTGGCCTGTAGGGATGAAGGATTTGTTTTGAACAACCCAGCAAAACCGGTCAAAAATATACGGAGTAAATTATTCGGATCGGTCATAGTGCCTCATATTCCCAAACCAAACATGGGATTTCCTGTGTTTTGTGAGGGATGGTCGTTGCGAACCCTTGAAAAAGAGTTGGACTCTGAGTGCATGCCACTTCCATGGTAAAGCTTCAGGACTTGGAACGGGGCCCCTTGCTGAAGCCTAGCCACCGCAAGGCAAAAAGGCCGCTGTTAGCAGGTTGAATCATGCTCATAGCTGGCGTAACTGGGATCAGTGCCTGTACCACCACACTTATTACCTGACTTAGAGAGCTGAGCATCCGAGTACCTGCCCCCCCCCTCTGCAGCTTCTCCAGCCATGCGTCTGGCCCAGGAGTTGCACTGCAACCAGCCAGCACCCAGCTGACGCCAAGGCCGCCAGGAGGCTGCCATGGCACACCGAATCCGCGGGCACCTGGTCCATTGCTCAACCAATCCACCCCCACACCACAGGCCCCACGAAAACAACCTGGGTAGTTGCCCTAGGGAAATCATAGTTGAAGGTTTGGCTCGGTGCAGTGTTCGCACCACCTCCAGAAGTGTCCGAAACTGCAAGCCCTATCTTTTCCTTGGCTTTGAAGATAAAGGCATCGATAAATCAGAGAATCCCTCCAGCTGACTCTAAACTGCCTTGCGACAAAGATCCTGTTTCCATTTCAGGAACCGCATCCTTGCTCATCTTCTCTGGCCACGCCATTATGCCCACAACCGCAACATGCGACAAAATGCCCCCAGGAAGTCACCCCCCGGTCGCCTGGCGCAGGGCCATCTGGGTGAAGAGCCGCAAACCAACATGCCAAGTCGTCATGGCGGAGCTGTAGGTGACCGCGCTCAGCTGCAGCTGCCTAGAAACGCAGGGGGGTCGACCCGGAAGCGTTGGGAGCTCATACCCTAGTGAGCCTTGCCAAAACCACATGGTGTGGGGAGGGTGGTCAAAATTAAGGGATGCTTCTCCTAGGGGATGGCCTTAAATAAATGAGCACCCATTGACTCTGGTTCTACTAGCATGGTTTCGAAGGTTTTGAAAAAACAGGCCTCATGATAATTCCAATTAGACCAGGCAGTAGAACCTACTAAAATGGCTAGGGCCTTGAGGAGGTGCTGCTCAAATGGCACTAACGCCAAAGTCACAAAGGGGGGATTCTTTTCTCAACCTCCCAGGGCATAACCTGCAAGAAAAAGCACTGCTTCCCCACGAACCCAAAACAAAACATGGACTAGCCATGCATTCACATACTATGTCTTAGTGATATGTAAAAATATAGTCATTAACTAACCAGTACCTGATAGAAAAATTCGCTAGCTCATGTATATCGTATATCCGCGTTCGCACCTTCCTTCGGTAAACCCCACCCAAAGTGGACTGGCCATCCCCCACCCTCCGCCTCTCTGCAGCCAATAGCTCCACAGCCCGGCCCCACGTAGTCTTTAGGGCGCTGCAGCACACGTTGAGGCTCACGATGTTGGGCGGCACCTCGGCCATTTGTTTTTTCAAGCGGAACAAAAGACATTTGGGTTTGTTGTTGTCCATTGCGCATGTTTGTGCGATTTTGCTTTGTTTCCAACACCCGAAGGGTTGCCTGAGGCCTGAGGGAAACCAAAATAGGACAGAAACGACTGACTATTTGAAAATGTGCATGTTTCTGAGGCTATGTACCCTTCTCAATTTGGTTTAAGGGGAAACCAAAACGAAAGCCACACCCTATTTTACAAACACCCCAAGTATTTTGTGGACCTGACTGTGCGGCAAGTCCATGTAGTAAAGAACAATGTGATGGTGCCCAAGTGTAGCCATGCTCACCTGTGCAAAGTTACTTGTGCAAAATGAACGGGTGCCAAGCAGAACATCCCCAAAATCAGCGCTCCCGCACTTACTTTGGCACCTGCCCAAGAAACAGGCCAAATGGACCAAACTGATCCTCTGCCTTTATCTAGGGGACCATTGCTCTTAGCCCCTGTTGCCTCTTCAAACGGGAAGTCTTCCGGCTTGGTTGGGTTGCCCGAAGCGAAATCTGCCAGAAACCAGTTGTAATAACTCGGTGTTACAGCCTGAACAATCCCAAGAAAACCTGCCCGGTCATCAACCCACTTTATATTGAGCATACACCCTGTCCAAAAGGGGGTGTGTGAACAACAGCGCGCCTTTTGGGGTCATTCAGGGTGAAAGTCGCTGGCACATGTCCACTGAGGGGGATGACTAAACCAAAATGAGAAGATGTGGCCATCTACTTTCACCCGCCATGTAGTTAATCATACAAACCTTCTGACCCTTTTACCAAACCACATCAAACAGGGAAACATATACAGGGGGGGCCTAAAGACGCCGAGCGCCACCCAAAGAGCTCCAAACCGGATGCGCTGAATCCCCCCACCCCACCCCACCCCCACTCCCCACCCCCACGCCTGCCGCGCCGCCATCGCGCGAAGCGTCTGAAGGGCCAGGGGCCAGTTCGTCGCATCGCAGGCGCTGATGGCGCAGCTGCAGTGGAAGACATTGGTCTCCACCTGAAAAAGAAAATGAAAACCATGGGACTGTGTGGGAGTTTTCTGAAGAGGAGGAGCCAACAAGGAAGTTGGAGATTGTTTCTTTTTCCTACCAAAAAAGGGGGTTGGACGGTTGAACCCAGAAAGGCTTGGTCCAAAGTTTGGGCTATGCCTTGGCGGGCTGATGCTTGAGGCCAATGCTACATTCCACCAGCAAAAAGACCCTGAACAGCATGTTACGCCCTGCCGGTGTCCTTACGCGGTAGGAGACAAAATGCCCGAGTGAAACAGAGCGCTCTGGATTTAGCTAGCGTTGCTCGCAATCAACTGGCAGGGGCCTTTACATGCTGGGAACAGTCATGGAGATATATAGAAACGGCTGAGTAAGCATTCTGAACCCTTGAAACAAGGTGAAATTGAATACTTCACCAACACCACTTCAGAGGCCGCGAGCCCGGCCTAACCCGCGAAAGCCTTGCAAAGCAAAGCGGGAGCCCGGCATCCGGACCTGGATAAAAGGCGAACTGGGAAAAGGCTGGATTTTCAGGGAGAACAAATTTCCGGGTTGAAGTCTTCCAAAAAAGGCATCAGCCCCCCCACCCCAACTCATCCACCTCCTCCCGGCCCATGCGCCGCAGCAGCTCCCAGACCTGTCGAAACCTTCCGGCCCTGCGGAGGCGCCCCAGCTGGGCCGTGTAGGCCCGCCCTTCGGCGCCTAGCGCTTGCGAGGACGGCAGCGCGGCAAGCCCGAGGCCGCGCGAAAGGACGGCGGACGGCGGTGGGATGGGTGGTTTTGGTTCTTCGGCGGACTGGGGTGGGGGGCATGGCGAGATTTGGGGCTCCAACGTTTTGTGTTCAGGGGATGGCTGAACAAGTCGGCAGCCTGAGAAAGCTGATAGCTTCCGAGCTTTTGCGCATTTACCAAAAGCGTCGGACTAGCTGGCTATCAACGTCGCCAGCCATCCCTAGAATCCCCTCACAACCGACAGGCCGCCGTGGCAGTTCGCAGGCGACTGACTCAGCGAAGAGTTCTCTGGATGCGCCGAGCACATTTCGACATTTCAGTGAGGGAAACGCCAGGCACAAATCCTGATGTAAAGATGTCCACCCCATGTGTCTGGTTAAGTCTTCAAGGCCGTTCTTGAGGGGCCACCCCTATGGCAAGGACATCTTTTTTGCCGGTCCCAAGAATGCTGTCCCGATTTCACCTTGAAGTGCAAATAAGATTGAATCTTCAGTCAGCCAGACTGCTCTCAAAACTTGGTTGACGTTGGAAGAGCAAGCATTTGAATGTCAGCAGTTAAGTGGATTTGGCTTTCAACCACTAAACCACAAGCAAAAATGTAACACGCTTCCCAACCATGACAAAAGCTCCGGGCCTTGTGGCCCAGCGGCAGCGTCCATGCGGCCATGACTTTCTAAGAGGTTTTTTCTCCAGTCCCAGTCGTCAAGAAGGCGCGGCTCGAGCCACAAAGCGCCACCGGTTCCGGCTGCAGGGCTGCAGCGCGTTTTGCTGAAAGGATTCCCACCCAGAAACGACTGAGAGAACGAGCTCGAGATGTTTGCATACAGGACGTCGCCTCGCGACCAAACAGAATTTGGCATCTCCTGGCTAGAATTCTACCAAAACTTGCGTGTCACGCAGACTGACGTGCCTGTAAATGCGGTAAAGCATCCTCTCTGATTGGCAGCTGAGGGAGTTTTTTTCCATGAAGCGCTTCTTATGCCTCAGCCGAGTACGCACATTGCCTACTTGACCCCGGAAGCAGGAAGGTGCCGCTGAGACTCACAGCACCCACGACTCCCGAAACAACATATGACTTGCATCATTGGCATCTGTTCTGCAACGGCTTTGGCAACAAACAAATCTACACAAACGTTTGCTCTTGGACAACCTGGGTATACTTTCTGGTTGAGACTCCTTTTCGGCTCAGTTTAGCTCTGAAGAAAAACCACCACTAGTGGGTTCCCCACGCCAAGCACTTGACGCGTGCCTCTGCAGCCGCCAGGCGGGCCTTGAGGCCCCGCACCTGGGCCCCATACTTCCCAAAATCACACGGTAAACTCACCTTGGGGCCCCCTTGCCCAAAACACTGACGTCCAAAACCAGGGATTTGAAGAGCTTTCCCCTTCACAAACCAAGGGTTCGAAAAAAGCTTTCTTAGGGCTCTGATCAAAGGGTTCCTCTTTTGAACCATTCTGGTCGGGGGGGGGGGGGGGGGAGCCTGGTGATTAAGCTCATCTAAGAATTCAGGGCTTGTCAGCGCTCTCAAGACCCGACTGGCACGAGTTGGTAGAATTATGGTCGGAAAAAGAATCCAAGATTTTGGCCATTACCCCACATCGCTACATGGTCTCAGGGAGAACGCTGTATATCCCATCGAAAAATCCTAGGGCTTCCTGGCCAAATGAAGCAAATGAGTGTGCACAGGCACATGTGCATCTCATGTAGATGCCTATGCACGTATGTCAGCCCAGCAACCTCAGCGTGCCCGGCATCCCAGCATCCCCGGTGGCAGCTCCGGCATTCTCAGACCCTGAGCACCCTGTAAGCTTCCAGCTCACCCATCCTAGACCACCTCTGAAACAACCCCACACCGCCAACGCAGCCCCTCTGCGCCAGGCCTCGAACAAACCTAGCTTTCCGTATGCCAAACCTCAACCATGTCCAAACTAACCTTACACCAACTCTAAACCCTCAAAACAACATAGCTCTAAACCACGCTAAGCTCCCCTTCACCCAGCCCGTAACCCCTTCTGGACAAGCCCAACCCAGCCAACCAGAAAAAAAACCTCCCAAGCCCTAGGTTCCGGGAACCAACACGGAACAAATCCAACAGCCTGGAGGCCCAAACCGGGAGCAGGAGGGCAAGCCGCTGATCATGTATATTTCCATACGTGTGCTCATTTAGATACCGAACTATTGATTGACTGACTGTTTGACTGACTGATTGGTTGATTGGTTGGCTGGTTGATTCGTTGAATGATTGATGCAGTACTCTTTGTTTCACTAAAATATCGACGCTGTAATTTATCCACTGCTCGTTTCATGCTAATTCAATTAGTTTTGTACTAAGCAAACGATTGTTTATTTGGTTACCTACTTACCTATTTCTGGATTGTTATGTCATCCACTCTTTCACCCACTCACTCACTCACTCACTCACTCACTCACTCACTCACTCACTCACTCACTCACTCACTCACTCACTCACTCACACTCACTCACTCACTCACTCACTCACTCACTCACTCACTCACTCACTCACTCACTCACTCACTCACTCACTCACTCACTCACTCACTCACTCACTCACTCACTCACTCACTCACTCACTCACTCATTCATCAATTTCATTAATTCATCCATCCATCCATCCATTCATTCAGTCATTCATTCATTCATTCATTCACTCACTCACTCACTCATTCACTCACTCACTCACTCACTCACTCACTCACTCATGCATTCATTCATTCATTCATTCATTCATTCATTCATTCATTCATTCATTCATTCATTCATTCATTCATTCATTCATTCATTCATTCATTCATTCATTCATTCATTCATTCATTCATTCATTCATTCATTCATTCATTCATTCATTCATTCATTCATTCATTCATTCATTCATTCATTCATTCATTCATTCATTCATTCATTCATTCATTCATTCATTCATTCATTTTTCATTCATTCATTCATTCATTCATTCATTCATTCATTCATTCATTCATTCATTCATTCATTCATTCATTCATTCATTCATTCATTCATTCATTCATTCATTCATTCACGCCAGTAGAACAATGTAAAAGTAGAACAATGTAAAGGAAATGAAAGGAGATGAAAGGAACAACACCCCCGTGCGAGAACTGGAGAGCAGAGAAGGCAGGGTCATGGAAAGGAAAAAATGAAAATGATTAGCAACACTCCCCAGCGCACGAACTGGAAAGCAGAGACGCCAGCAGAAGGGGGAAATCAAAAGAAAGTGTTTGAAAGGAAATGAAAGACAAGGAAGAGCTAATACGATATGGGCAAGGAATATAATGGGGCTAGGAATATACGGGCAGAGCGAAAGCGCATGAGCTGGAAGGTGGCGGGTGGTGCGCTGCGACTCCTGGCGCTTCGGCTGGGCGCTGTCGTCTGGCCCTTCCTTATCCTTCACGCCCATGGCATCGCCAAGCGCCAAAACTGGCGAATCGGTCAAATGACGACTGCGAGAAAGCACAAGTCTCAAAGATCGGAAATGGCTCATCTCTGAGACAAAAGCTCGTCACTAGTGAGGATGAGCGTGTCTTATGGCTTCTTAAATTAGAGCCAATCAAGAGGGCGCGCAACTCGTCCTCTCTATCAACAGCCCACCACACCAAACCGACCAAAGAAGACAGTGAAGCAGAGGCAAGCTCGTACCTCAAGAAACAGACACCTAAACCTGTGTGCAGTCGAACGTGGTGGTTTCCCCCCCCCCCTCGCCCGACGGTCAACCACCCGTGCTGCAGGTCTACATACATATATATATATATATATGTATATATATATATACGTCGGTTTATTTGCGTATGTACGTATTGTGGTTTTCTTTAGTTGTGTCTATGTATGCAATTTATTTAGTTATTTAAGTGGATATTTACCTATTAACGTATTTATCATTGTGCTTAGCCATGTGTATTTGTTTATGTGCTTGTTTGTTTATCTATTTATTGTCCTATGTTCTTATTTGTTGATTCATTCATGTGTGTGCTGTTTTTGTATTTGTTTAATGTTGTTATTATTCACTTATCTGCATGTGTCTGTATGTTGCTTTACTTATGTATGTGCTTATGCCTTTATTACTGTCTTTCTGTCTTTATTATATTATTTGTGTTGGTCCTTTCTTTCTTTCTGTTTACTTATTTATTTATTCGTGTATTTATCTATGTCCTTCCTTCTTGCATTCTGTGTCTATCTATCGGTCCGTCTGCCTATCTATCTACACACCTATATTGTGTTTATTTCATGTGTTTGTGTCTGTCTTCATTTAATTGTTTCTTGGATTGTATTCCTGTCTTTCTTTCTTTCTTTCTTTCTTTCTTTCTTTCTTTCTTTCTTTCTTTCTTTCTTTCTTTCTTTCTTTCTTTATGTTCTTTCTTTCTTTCTTTCTTTCTTTCTTTCTTTCTTTCTTTCTTTCTTTCAATATTTATGTCTGTTTTCATGTATTTCATTCTTTATCTATCTGTCTGTCTGTCTGTCTATCTATCTTTTACTTATTGATTATGTCTTAACTGATTATTTACTTACGTACTGATTTATGTATACAATCATTTATTTACATATTGATTCATTTATTGTTTTGCTTGTTTTTGTGTTTATCCTGTTTTTTGTATTCTTTATTTTTTACCACCCCCCAAGTCCCAAGCACACCATCCACCAACACGTTCCCCCCCCCCCTCGCCCACCCCCCCCCCCAACCCCCCCGCCCTTTTCGCCGTCCAAACAACGCGGCGCGAGGCGCCTCCGCGCGCATCCGCAGCTGGGCCTTCTCCAAGTCGTGGCGGCGCTGCGTCCAGGCCGCCAACGCCTGGTGCGATTAGCAGGGAATGAGAAATGGAATGATCCCTTTTTAACCATCCAACTGGTGGTTCCCTTGAGGGAATGTGGTTTCCTTGAAGGGAATCCCTTGGGAATGAGGGAAACCCTTCTGCCCATCCAACTGGTGGCTTCCTTGAAGAGAATCCCGGACCAAGGGTCCCCTTAAAGGAAACCAGTTGGATGGTGTATGGAGGCACTCCATTTCTCATTCCCGAATCGCACCACGAAAATCCCCAGGCCTCAGGGTCCTTGAGGCCAAGCCACGAACCGCTCTAGGAAACCAAGTTGTGGGATGCATCAAGCGCATTTTGGGGGTCACACACACACGCAGCCCCGAAGGAGGTCCAAAAAATGGACATATCCAAAAAAAAAGAAAGGGAAGCTGCGGGAAGAAAGAGAAGCGGCGGGTCCCGAAACAAGGCAGCTCTATTGTCAAATGCTCGTGGAAACAAGTGATCCAATACTTCCAAGCTGTCATTGTACGGCGGAACCGGGGAGCAAAACCTTTGTCAAGCACGTTGTTGCGTCATCCCTTTCGCTCGAGCTGAAGTCCGGAAATGCAACAATGACGCCTGCTACGGTACCCTCGTAAAACTCCACCCCGTCTGGCTTGCCGTGTACGGCTTGGTAGGTTTAGGCTGCACCATGGGAGGGACAGCCATCCAGCAGTGGGCAGAGGTTGCAAAACATAGCAGCGCCTTTTTCACCCATGCACTGTTGGTTCTACTAACATGGTTAAAGAGTTCTTTATAAGCCGTACTGTCCCAACACAAGGGTCTACCAGCATGTTTACAGAGGTTCATACAGCCCCCAACTCCATGAAATCAGGTAGTCGAACCACCTACGAAAGCGGCCCTTGGTGGGGGGGGGGGGGGTTCTGGGCGACGGAAACTCACCTTAAGTTGGCCGAACAAATGATGTTTACAACCACCCTTCACAGCAAAACAGAGAGACCCCTGGAAAATCAAACAAAACTGCCCATTCGGCGCATGGTGTTTCATTGCCCAACGACTTCACCCCAACAAAAATGGAAACTCACGCGGAGTCCCGAGAGCTGCTGCCTCCTCCTTCGCCTTCAGCTGCGCCTCAGCCGCACGCCAGCTGCTTCGCGCCTTCCGACTTGGCTCCGACGCCGACGCTCTCACATCTACGTCATGTGCAAATGCCATACGGGACGGCCCACACGAGGTGTATGTCAACCTTAAAAAAGCCTATGCTTGCCTACATGGTGTTTGTGTGTGTGTGTGTGCTCTTTGTGCTGAAACTCGTGCGCGTGCCTACTGGCATATGCGGTGCCTACACAAGAAGCTCCCCAGCCGACTGCCACAAAGTGGCTAGGCGCACATACGTGTGCAAAACATGCCTACGCGGGGCCTGAAATGTCCACTCTCCTTTTGCCCCTTTACTACCATACAAAACCTCCGCTCAATCGGGGAACGATGCTACAACAAACTCTCCGGTGTGCTAGGTCAGGAAACACCCAGCAAAAAGGGGTTCCGTTTTGACATTATTTCTTCCTGGATTCAGAGGGAGGGAGGGTACAGAAGAACCTGCAAATCCGAATATATCAAAGCTGCTGGCTTGCCACTTTCAATGTTCGGGAAAACAAATCTTTGTGACTTCTGGAAGCATCACGCAGAAAGGAGATTCGGCCAACTACAGTTGGATGCTCAGCCCAGCCGATTTTCATTTACGTTTGTCCTTTGAACAAAAAGTGGCAAATGCTGCTAAAGAGTCAAGGATTGGCACAATCGAATTTGAGTTTGAGCTCTGCAGCCTCAATTCCAAAAGGCGAAACATGAGCCCCCGTTCGGAAGTTCCAACTGTCCAAACCAAACCTTGTTCGTGAGTGTGTTATACTTTATTCAAGCCTGGTATTGAAGGAGTCTATGTACATTTACGCCCCTCCACTAACATAGCATTTGTGGGAGGGTGTATGGAAGATAAATTTCCTCTTCAAGGGACCTCCTGTCAGGTGCCATGTTAGTGGGAGGGAGGGCCATGGAAAGAAGCAAAAGGGCGGCCGCAGCAGCTTTTATGGACTGTCCTACTGGGTGCTGATTCTGGGAGCGTGTCTACATTTTGGTATGTCTCATTGCCCAAGAGTTGACTCAAACCCCGAAACGACCAGTGCAAATGGAACCACGGGGCCCCCGAAGTAATTGCACAAACCCTGATCATGCAACTTCGAGGAACCTTGCGGGCCCCGTAATTGTTCATTCAAAGACCGTGCCACTTTCAAGATTGGCGCAAAAAAGCTCTTTAACATCGTTTGAAACCAGTTGAACAATCTCCCGCAGCTTCAAAGAGGTTTTGCATGTAAAGGCCAGTGCTTTGCTTGCCTCGTTCTGGTAGGGAAGCAACATAGATGGGGACGACTCACCCTACACCCTTGAAAGGAATTACAACTCATTCCCTGTCTGTGGAACTGGATGTCTTTCTTTTGGAGTTGGTACCACTTCTTGTTGGGGGTTTTAATGGAAACCAAACGATCCAAAGGAAAACCACCATTTGGGGGGGGTCTCCTAAAAGAAAGGCATCCACAACTCCAGCAATGCACTTTTGCCTTCTGCTGCAGCGACTTCTGCTCGTCCCGCTCTTTGGCGAGGCCCTGCGGATTTGTTCAAGTGTTCAACCATCACCTGGGTGGTAGTTGGCACAAATCCCAGGCAGGTTGATGCCCTCAGATCAAAGAAAGGGAACTTCTGGCTCTAGGGGAAGCTTCCAGCCCTTTCCAGGAATCCGAATCTTTTCAGGAAACCATCAAAAACCAAGCGGAAACAGCGACCGGTGTTTAAAAGGAAGGGATGGTTGAAAAGAATGGGGAATCAACCCTGGAACAATTACCTTGCGGGTGGGTACAGGGGCTGACACCGGAGTGATGGAATTGTGCCATGTACTTTCACCCAACAGCGCTTAGAACGTAAGTTGCTGGGAAACCTGAGGCATAAACATGAAACATGCCCCCTGGTTGGATGTTGGAACCTGCTCAGCGGGTCGGGTTAATTCCATGGCTATCACTGTGATACATTTACTAAGTCGGCACATCCGCAATCAAACGCTCCCTGTGGCTCCTTCGAAAAGGAACTCGCTTATCGGAATTTTGATCACAGTCTCCCAGCCTTTGGATTCACAAATGGCAGGAAAGCGCTAGATGAGCAATGCGTACTGTGCCAGTTCTTTGGTGTGGCTTGGGTGTGTTCTGGGTACTGGCCAAAAACATGTTGCACAGGACATTGGGGACCCAGGACCAAACCCCAAAAAATACTCACGTTTGAGGCCATAGACAAAACACGAAGTCAGCCGCCCTGTTCTTGCTGTTTCCACACACATCTTGGCCCACTAAAGTAATATCCTCGAATTTCCATCTCCGAATCGTGGGGGCAAGAACCCCAAAGAAACTTTGAGAACCCCACTATTCACCTGGAACGTCGCACGCGAGCCTCCACCTGTACTTCCAAGACTTGGCGCTCCTCGCAGCGTTGGCTCAGCAGCTGCTGCTGAGACCGCACCTCACTCGGCTCGAGCCGACTGGGGGCCGGCCCACCACCCGTGAAAAGGATGTTTGGAGCCATGGCAAAGCCTCAGCTTGAAACCTCAGAATTCTCCTCTCAGCTTCTGTGTTCTAGAGGGGTATCCAATGAGCCCTCGCCAAATGCCTCAAAAGGCAAAAGGGTATCCAGTCTGGCTCGGTGAGCCAAGTAACTATCTCATTCAGAAAACAACGCCTTGAACCGTAGCTTTGGGAGCAACACGTGGCACCTGAGTTTCAGACTCAGCACAAGTATTGTTCCGAAATTGGGGGGGGGGCACCCCTAGGAATGAATGGTTCTCTTGGACATTCGTTCTACACCCGTCAAATCGGTGTGTCTCTTTTTTTTGAGGGTACCCTTTTTTTGGGGCTGAGTCAAAGGAAAACTGAAGCCACTTCATTGTGCGGGGGGCCCCCCCGATGACACAACCAATGGGCCCGCCACCTCTTGCATGCCTTCCACGCCTTCGCAAATACCAAGGGGAAGGAATTCCGTGGCGCTGGGTGCCCTTGCAGTATACCGCAAATCCAGCAGTTGCTTCCCCGTTCTCTTCAAAAACCAGCTGCTTCCCCGGGTTTTGGATGGTTTCCTGAAAAAGAAGGATTTCTGGAAAGAATGGGGAAGGTAGCCCTAGAACAAATGGACATAGGTGTTTCTTGAGGGAACCCTTTTTTGGGTTGTTTTAAATGGGAATCAAAAGTATATAAACCACTCATTTTGGGATTCCCCTACTTTGAGACAAACCCACGTGGGAATACCTGATTTTGCCCCATGTCATCGCCTACAGGAGATGTCGTCACATGTTGACCGCTCATATAGAGTTTTTTCAAGGCATGGAAAAAATGGCGCCACCCGGCCCCCCTAGAATTTGTAGTAAACTTGGGTGGGCCCCATGACCCCGCAAGAAAACGCAATAGGCTATCAAACATTCTGTCAGTTGCTCATATGGGTGTCTTAAAGCAGGAAGCCCTCCCCACCCCCAAAACTAGACCACGGTTGGCCCGAAAGCATAACATCGCAAGCGATGTCGGCCCAACGCTGCAGGATGCGTTCTTCTTCCCTCCACGAAGCATTCGTGAAGCAAGCGCGAGACAGCGCCAGGCAAGGTGCTCTGTGCAAACTGGTCGGCGCAAGTTGGTCTGCGCAAGTTGCTCTACGCAAGTTGCACTGTGCAAGTTGCTCTGCGCAGCTTAAGCCAGGTACTGATCTGCATGCGCGCTGTGGGAGCCGGCAACTTCAGGACGACGGGGCCAAGAGGGTTGGCAACCGCGCGCGAAGTTCTCCCCGTCTTTGCGTGGAGGCCAGGCACGCCTCTCGGCCGCCCCGGGCACCTCTCGTTTCTTGCGCCTTGAATGTGGGGCACCCCTTGCCAAGCAGCACAACACAATTGAAGATGCTGGAGTCACATGTTCTCCGAGCCGGTGCCCGCCAGGTCCCGCAGCTGGCTGTGCTCCAACGGGGCGCTCGCCCCTGCAGCCCCTTGGGGCTCTTCCATAAGCTGGCGCAGCGCCTTCCGGTGCAGCACGTGCCTGCCGCTCCTTACCACCGGTGTAGTTGTCCACGAGGCGCGAGCTTAGCGCGCCACACGCAGAACTTCGCACCTTCTTAGCGGAGATCCAGTTGTGGCAGCATGGCGCGCGCGCCTCCCACGCTTAGCTCAGCTCGCTGCCGGGAGATCATCCGGGCAGAAGGCGCAGCGGGCGGAACGCGGGGCGGGCTGCAAGCGCAGGGACTGGCTGCCAGTGAACGAGCTGGGTGGCCAATGACGAGACCCGGCCTACCTGACAGAGGAGCAGGTGCAGCGGCCACCCCGATCCTGCAGATCTTGGAAGATCTACTCCTGGACTCAGAGGGGCACTGGGTAGTCACCCAGAGCACGCAGTACAGGACCGAGGTGGACACTCCTGCGCTGGCGCATGAAGGGTTGAAGAGCGTCAGCTTCCAGCTGCCTGCAAGGAGGACGTGCTGCCGACACAGGCTCTCTCTGTTGTGCAAAACCAAAACCTCTTGTTGCTCCTCAGAGCTTATGATTTAGCATTTGCGGATTCTGCAAAAAATAGGGTGGTGTTTTCTTACTTCACCTTGCACTGCAACGGTCTTCAGCCTGCTTCAAAATGCAGGCAAAAACCGGGGGGTCCTGGCCATTCTGTGCGTCCCTTGCAAGTGCCGCAGAGGGTCGCGCGAGCATGTTAAAAATCGCAAAAAAAAAACACGAGTTTTTGCACCTCGACCACGCCGATCCCCGCAGAGGGTCGCGTGGGAACTTTAGAAATCGCAAAAAACCATGGGTTTTTGCACCTCGGCCACGCCGATCCCCGCAGAGGGTCGCGCGAGCCCAAACAAAATCGCAAAAAAACACCTCGAGTTTTTGCACCTCGACCACGCCGATCCCCGCAGAGGGTCGATTTTCGTGTAGTGTCGTTGGCGCTACCCCGCCGCCCTAAGATTGACTCCTCGCAAGTCAATTGCACTTGACTCCTTGCACTTGCAACTTGCACTTGACTCCTTGCACTTGCAACTTGCGCTTGACGGCAACTTCCGCTTGACTCCATGCACTTGGCTCCTTGCACTTGGCTCCTTGCACTTGCAACTTGCACTTAACTCCGTGCACTTGCAACTTGCACTTGACTCCATGCACTTGGCCCCTTGCAACTTGCAGTGACTCTCATGACTCCTTGCAATGACTCCTTGCAATGACTCCTTGCAATGACTCCTTGCAATGACTCCTTGCAATACTCCTTGCAATGACTCCTTGCAATGACTCCTTGCATTGACTTTCATGATGATGATTCCTTGCAATGACACCTTGTAATGACTCTCATGAGAACAACTCAAGTGAACCCAGCGGAAGAACCCTTCGCCATGCTTTCGGGAAAAAGAGAAAAATAAACAAGTGTTCCTTTCGGCTTCCATGGAACAAAAATAGACACAAGGGGTACCCTCCAAAAAGAAACGCCCCTTTTACTAGCAGCACACCACCGCCTTCAAAAAACAAAAATGCCCAAGGCATTGGCCTGCTCTTGTAGCCGGTCGGTCTGCTTCTGCAGCACGCGAAGCCTGCATGACAAACAAGTACGCTTAATGGGGGGGGTTGGAAAAGGGAGGGGGGTCAACAAAAAAAAGGGGGGGAGCCCAAACACAATCTGCCTTGTGGGAAGCCCCACTACCCTCCCTCAGACTAACAAGGAAGCTCCCGGGACCGCTTTGAAAGACTCGGTGCCATTTGTAGAGGCCTTCTGGAGCTTCCGGCTGGCCTGAGAAAGTGTACCCCTAAGCCACTACACCCAAGCGAAAAATGAGTATGTGCCCTTGTATGGTGCAGCAAGCCCTGTGTAAAATGTTGTGGACCACTTCGTCCTGCAAGCAACAAAGGATGCAGCTCGAATGTCGCTCCGGAGTGTCGCGGAAAGTAGTACTATTCAACCGTGGTCTTTCAGAGTGTTGATAGTTGGGGAACAATCTTGAGAAAACTCCGCAACAGAAAATACCTCGCCACTTGGCCACCCAAAAAGAATCAGACCCACAAATTTCGGGCCTTTCTGGTCCAAACCTGCATGTGTAGGTTTGCTATACCATCAACCCTTTGCCTCCGCATCACCCGCCTTTCCGTTCCTGGGGCACCTGTGCAAACCGAGGGACGTCGTTCCGTCAGACCCCCAGAGCTTGACGCATCGCCACCTTCTGGCACCCTCCGTTCCTTTTCTGTGCAAGGAACCTCTCGGATGTGTAACCGGAAGAATGGGTGGTTTCTGAAGTGAAGGATGGGTCAATGGACAGATCAACCCTTAGACCTGGACTTCTTCGAAGTCTCTGCCTCCCCCGCGACGCGAGCCTCTCGACTGCTCGAGCCTCCAACTCCTCGCAAACCGGAGATCCGGTGGCTACGAAATCCCACGCCGGGCGGGCACCAGTTGGGATGAGTTCAGCCCGAACATCCACGAACCGGTGCAAAATGGACTTTTGGACTGGCAAGTTCGCGCCTCGGATGCACGCAAGAAAAAGTCACCTGCAACAGAACAGGGCGTCGGGGAAGGTTGTTTTGCGGCTGCTAAAACAAATATGAACATAAAAGAACAGGGATGACATCCAGCTCTGGAATCTCACTGGAGTCTTGCAAGAGCAATCCAACAGAACAAAGCAAGCAGTGTCAAAACCCCGACAGACCCCAAGTCGTTCCAGGACCCATCTCACCCAAATCCCGCGTCCTTTTCAGGCTCCTCTGCCTGAGGCAAGAATGGTGAGATACGGAGTAAACACGTCTGCCACAGCCCAGCTTGCAGGAGAGTTGTTCTGGGGAGTGTGACGCCAAGACAGCTTGGACGTGGAAATAACGACACCTGCCATCAACATGACGCAAAGAACGCTTGGCCCGAATCCGCGCAGCCAGAGGAAACGGCGGGGATGGAGTAGTCTGAAGCTTCAACGTGCAACAGCTGTCTGCTGTGCCCAAGGTTTGATCCCAGCAAGGCCCGTCTCAGCCCACCTCGATACAAACAGAGCAATGACCAACAGCTGCTTTTTGAGGGGCCCACCCAAAACCCACGGTCAAGAGTCAAAAGGGCTCTTGCCCTACCTACTCTACGCTGTTCAAAAAAATGCAAGTGTCCATGAAATATGATTCTTCTACAACTGTGTTTTGCTCGAAAGAATGTACAAAAAACTAGCAATACTTGCATACACGGCACGGGCGTTGCCCAAAAATTGGACGCCCTGAGCAGTCGGCCGGTAGCACAGCCAGCAACTCCTCGCGCAGTCGCCGGGAATGGCTTTGTCAAATAGGAAAACGCGCCCGGGGACTCCTCCAATTAAACCAACCATCCATCCATATCCATCCATCCATATCCATCCATCCATATCCATCCATCCATATCCATCCATCCATATGCATGTATCCAACCATCCATCCATCCAACCAACCAACCAACGAACCAACCAACCCCGACTCTCACCCGAAACCCGCCCCGAAACCTGCGAAATGGATGTTTCTTTGATACGAGGCAATAGGATAAGTCATATTGACAAATGATGTGCAAAATGTCTTCATCTGTAATATCTGCAATGATTTCGTAGTGGATAAAACTTTTTTGATATAGAGAATTCACTCTCCTTCTCTATGCACTTTCCTTGTGTCTCCTATCATTTGGCCGTGTATTTATGGCTTTACTTGATTGGGTCAGAGAGAAGATGGCTCATATGTAAGAACACCTGGGCCAGTCACTTAGTTGGCTTTGGAATCATTGAGGGGAAGAGGCCACCTGGAAAATGTTGTTTCTTACAAACGACCAACAGTTTCAAGACGACCATTGGGTGAGACTAGGATTATTCTGGCGCCATTCCAAGCTGCTTGAATCATTCGGTCGGTTCCAACTGAGCTCTCCATTCAGAGTTGCTTGAAACATGTTCAAACACAAGCTCCAGGTACCAAAACAAATCGGTCCAAAAAAATGCCTCCAGCGAAACCCACTTCCATCTCTCAGGCCCTCGGTCTCGCCAATTGGCTCCCATCCTGCAGGCGGTGCTCCCGATCTGCCAGCTCCTTACGGCTCTCCTCCGCAGCCTCAGCCGGGGTGCCCGGATTTTTTGTGCCCGTGTGGTGGGGAACCCCCAGCAAACCCATGGCGCTGAAAATCACCTCTCCAATGCTTCTGGCCTCCTTTCTCCACTGGATACCCCGAAAGAGCTACGGTTGATAGAAAGCCACGCACGGCACCGGGTGGGAATCGTGGCTTATCAGCCAATATACTTGTAGGTTCAACTGGTGCAGGAATTTGTCCACCCACAGTAGGGCCCCCAAAGCCATGCAAGCAGGGTTCGTAAACAAGCTTAGAAGGGGTATCTAAGGGTTCCTCTTGAACCCTGGGCCCAAGGATCAGCCCTGATCTTCAAACCGAACTGTAAGCGAATTTACCCAAAACCCATACAAAACAAGAACTACAGGTGCCGAGACCCAGGAAAGGGTGCCCTCCATTTGTTATGTTTATGTTATTTGTTTTATACAAAAAAAAAAAAAAACGAACCACAAGCCATGTGCGGTGGGCTCAGATCCGCCTGCGCCCAGCTCTGCTTGGCGGCTCGGAGCTGCCGCAGCTCTGTGGAGGAGGACCTGATCGCAATGCGGTCGCTGCGCGAGATGGGAAGGAAGACTCGTGGCGGTGTCCTTTCGGGAATCCCCCTTTCCCCCCGACCATCCAATTGGTGGCTTCCTTGGGATCCCCAGGTGTCCATGTCTTCCCGGCCTATGGCAGCAAGACAAGGGGACCTTCTGACCTTCGAAAGGTATGCGTGTGGGTGTCTGCATCCGAAAGGAAACCATGGCACTTAGAATCAATAAGCTTGGCGGGTGGCTAACAATCCAAACGGGGGAAGGCGCACTCGGCTCTTTTCGTTTCTTTCCTGCAGCCTGAAAGCCGTTTGTCTAAATGGCAAACGAAACCTGCTTTGGTGAGTCTCCACTATCACCAGGCTTTGTTGCAGTAAGGTTGGTTGGAATGCCCTCGTACACAGTTGGCGGGCATAAATCCAACCAACCATGAGTACTGAGTTCTTGTGCTTGCGTTCATGAGTCTAGCCGTCGCTCTTGGATTTGTATATCCCTTGAGTGTTTTACGCCGATTCGCTCTTCTGAGATCCCTTGCGCGATGTCGCCGTGCTGGGATGTCGGCAGACCCCCAACTGTCCAACCCCCCCGCGTTTTGTGGGTGAATCTCCCGCAACGGCGCGCCATTCTCAGCTTTCTTTTCAGGAGACCCAAGAAATGGCAAGTGGCTTCCCCTTGGGCAAACCCCCACCTGACGCCTTCAGGGAACTTGGATGGATGGTGGAGGCAACCAAAAGGATATCAAGCAGTTGCATGGGGGACTCCCCTCCAATGAAGATGGAGCCTAAAACAGCCGGAAACCAGGTTCCCTGTTCAGAATCATGATCTTCCAGGAAGTCGCTTGCAGGTCGCATGCTTGTTGACGGGAGGGCATCTCAGAGTTTTTGCACCGAAAGTTGAGGCTTCCTGCTCCGAACCAAAGATCACCCAACTATTTGTGAGACCCCCGCCCCAACTCGCAGTCACAAAATGAATCGTGTGCTTCAACAACTCCCCCCCACGATTCAAGCCATTGAAACAATTAGAGCTTGACTTTTCCTCAGCATGGTTAACCTTTCACGCGTTTCACCGTCCACGTTGGGCCAAGCATTCGTTTTTTCCTGCTTGAACGTTGACCCCGGGTCTCCGTTTGGGGTTCCCCAACGTGATCTATGGCTTCAACGCCGGGAGCGCCGGGCGCTCGCCGGGCGCTCGCCGGGAGCCAGGCTCCACGTCCTCCTTGGCCACCTCTAGCTTTAGGCGCAAGGCCTCCACCTATCGCAGGAGAGGCAGGGAATGTGTGGAATGAACGAGGGGATTCAGTTGCTGCGCCTTGATTGGAGTAATCGTTTGCCAAGTTGGATGTGTGTGTGGCGGTAGTTTAGGGACTCCCGAATAAATGAAACGGAGAGAAATGGACCCGTTTTGGGGTCCCAAAGGAAATTTCCGGTGGGATGGTTTGTGGGTGTATAGGAAACCACCACTCGGATGGTTTATATCCGGGTCATTCCAATTCTCCTTCCCCCTGCCTATCTCTCGCACGAGCAAGTAAGTCGCGGTCGAGACACCCGAACTGGGGTCCGACCAAAACGGGAAAGCCTCCGACTCAGTGAGGCTCCGGGTTTTGTGGTCGAACAGAGCGGAGCGCCATCATGGTTTCCTCCTCACCGGTAAGAGTGCCTTTGCCTATGAAGGCGTGCCTATGACATTTTTACTTGTTCATGGCAAAGCGACTTAGCTGCCCCCTGACCAATCAGAAAAAGTGAACCTCGAGATCATTGCAAAAGATCCTAGCTCGAGTTCATCAGTTCAATCCCAAACAATGAAGAAGGAAGTTCGTTTACTTACAATATCCAGGAAACTAGGCACACCCCAAACTCAGATTTGCTTCACCTCCAAACCACTACAGCAGTTCCTGAAATGGCCACTATATAGCCACTATATTGAACCCCGCTGTTCCCCCGAGTGCCATCCCGCGGTGGGTGGTCCCGTTGGGTTTGCTTCCCGTCTTTTCTTGGACCCTGGCTGCTGCATCCAGGGCTTCCAGCTGGTTCAGCGCCTGGGGCTCGCTTGATCCATGGCTTGCGAAATCGGTAGGGAGTGAGTTGGAAGGAAGCAGGGTTGTGGGAAATGACCAAATCTGAGATACAACAAAATTGGCTTCCCAAATACTGACACACCCCATATAAAGGGGGAGATTCCCTTGTATCACAGCGGGAATAAACCCCTTGATTCCACAACCCTGAAATGAATTGTTTGGGGATTCCCGAAAGGAAACCACCAGTTGGATAGCTTTCTTTCGGGGCCGTTCCCACGCTCAGGGGCCCCCTTTCAATCGCACCAGCAAGTCTAATTTCCATGGAGGGCTCCTAATATGTCCCCGGAGGAACTTGAACTTAGCCCAAAACGTCAAAAAGGAAAACATAGAGAACCCTGAACCCCAGGGCGCAGAATCTGGTTCAATCAAAAACCGAAAGGTGATGCTTCAAAGCCGCCAAAAGGAGGCATGTAGGGAACCCGCCTACTTTTGGTGTTCTTTGGGGTCATGGTCCGCTTCTTTAAACCGATTGTGCAACCAACCCTGCCTGCTGGCCTCCCAAGGAAAAATAGATGTCTTTTGGCCATGTGTGCTTTGACCATCTATTATATGCTTTGACCGAGAAACGATGTTGCTACAACCAACGGAGTGGTCTTTGTCCCTCTCAATCGATCTATCTGCAGTGTTCTGGAAGGATCAAATGGGCAGGAATCGGCAAGTAGGCATGAGCCGCTGTCAAATCCGCAGCAACCCCGCTGTCGCTTTTGTGGTTGAAACTTCAGTGAGTCCCTCACGTCCTCCCAAACGGAAGTAATGATATGTTGACCCAACATCGCATGATCACTGCTGATGGCGTCCACTCGTTGCATTCCTGGCGTGGGTCTACCAAAAAACCGCAAAAATAAACTTGGACGTGTCTCTTGGGCAACAAAGGGCCACCTTGTCTTGGGATAAACCCGGAGGAATTGCCGGAAGTGGCGCTGACTGACAACCCTGGATTCCCGAACGGTCCAACATCCTGGGGGAGTTGGGCGAAACCTGAAACCTGATGGATTCGTTTTCGTGCAGCCTGGCTTTTAAGTTCACAAAAGTCTGGGGGTAACTTCCCCATTCTTTCCAGGGATCCTTCTTTCTAGAAAACCCCCAAAAGCCCTGGGGAAATGGCTGGTTTTTGGCTGAAAAGAAAGGGGAAACAACGCCTAGATAAAGTGGGTGTGCCGTAGAATAACGGAGCCCAACACTGATGGCTCTCCCTTGAGGATCCCTTTGACATCACTCCAATCAGCTTCCCTCTGCTTGGATGGGTTCAGAGGTGTTGTGGGAGTGGTTTCCAATCCCTCTGCAACCAGCCCAATCCAATTGCGACATAATCAAACCCGGTATTTAATTGGTCTACCCAGAACCATGTAAAGAATTAGGAAGGTGGCCGCAGCTATTAATGGCTGGAAGTGCCCCTTACTAGCCTTCATCTACCCGGGTTTTTGATTGTTGCTCAATTCACTTCAAGGTACGCTCAAAAACATCAAGGTACCCAAGCGCCAACTGGAGAAGCACATCCACTCTCGTGCCTCCTCCGACTCCTGCTCCAACTGCCGCTCCTCCATGGAACAGATCCGGACTCGGGTGTCTCTTGAACATCGGATGAATCAAACACAGGACTATGAGTACGTGTCAGACTAGTGAGGCCCCCAAAATGGCGGCGTTCCTCTTTGTTCCTTAAACCCTGAACAGGGTACCCTCAAACAAACACATGGGAAATGGACCCCCTTTTCGGGGGTTCCATGTGAATTCGCACAGGAGAAAGCCCCCCTACAGGTGCAAAACTTGAGTTTTTATTCCCTGAATCGGACACCTCCAATCAAACTCAACAGAGACAGGAGAATATAAATCCTGGGTTTCATTCTGTGGACTACGTGTTGCCCGAATCGAAAGGACTGCCAACAGGACAAGCAAGGCATGCATTCAGGAGTGAGTATATCTGATGGTAAAATGATACTGATAGCAGTAGAGTATCATGCCAATTCGTAGAAAGCATTGTGAGAAGGATACTGGTGATACAGACAGGTTTGTGCACGCTCATGTGTGTAATTTCAATGTGCATATGTATCTTTGGTGCGTGCATGCCTATGAATATATGTATCTTTGGAGCCAATGTTAATGTCGAAATCTAGCAGTCTTCCTGGGACCTCGGCATGTGTCTCTTTGCTTAACAAGGATTAGCATTGTACCTTTTACAATATGCTGTGCCTCTATGACTTTCCCACCTTCGCCAATCAAAACTCTGATGCCTGCCTTCTAATCATTCTTGCTTTCTCAAGTTGCACAAATTGCAGCTTTTGCTTTTCACGCCTGCGCTCTGTACATTCCCAGATGCCAAGAAGAACTTTACAAGCATCGGCACGCTGCACAAAGGGGCCCATTCATCTTCCACACATCTACCATCGCAGGGTCCATCTAAATCGATCTGACATCTTCCAAGCCAGCGGAAACAGCCTGTTTGGATGTAATCCCCATACGAGAAGCTTTGGACCTCCACATCCTGTTATGCGGAGTTGAGGTCTCGAGAAACCTCCTTCGCCTTCCATGCAGCTTCACATCACGGTGATGTGCAAGTTCATCCTTTGCGCTTAGGTCAAATCGGTTGAGCATCGGCAGCTCCAAATGACCATTGCCCAAATGAACCCCAGCCAAGAGCCTGCAACAGTGTTTCAGGGCATGCTGAAGCATTTTCCGGTTCTCAGGCTGCATCAGAAAAGCCATTGCTACTGGTGACAGGAAAGACATAGACTCAGCACAGCGCTGCACCAACATCTCCCGCATATCACGAGAATTCTCAGCCATATAATACATACACTGACACAGCTCATAGGACTCTATGGCCTGGTCCAGAGCACAATAGTAGGACTTTAGGTCATCTTGAAAATGGCCCAAAAAAGCTGACACCACTTCCGGATGTCCTTTCCGAATCGCGTAGTGCAGCGCTGGTCGATGTCGAGTGTCCCGATCCCAGACTGCTGTAAACTGAGGATGCTGCAGCAACAACATACAAATATCTTTCAGGCCCATGTCACACGCGATGTGCAGGGCCGTCCAGCCTTCCTTGTAATATCTATGGGGAGGTTTACAACCATTGTTGGCTCTCAGGAATCCCGGATGATCGAGGATCAGTTTGCAAAGATCCGCATCTCGCAGAATTGCGGCATAATGCAAAACTGTGCAATTCCGGTGAATATCGAAGGGGTGTTCTGGCTGTGGAGGCCACACCTCATGCTTCTCATTTACGAGCTTGGCATCGGCATCCCTGGCGATGATGTATTCAAGAAGCGGCAAGTCAGAGGATGCCACAGCGCTGGGCGCGCCGCGCAGGAAGTGGTCACGAATGGCTGAGTCCCTGAGACACCATTCTCTGACCATGCTCAGCAGCTCGGTGGGCTTTTTGCATTTCACTTGAATCACTTCTGCGTCTCCAAGGTCAGCCAGCCTGTGAGTATCCGCCGCCACCTTGTCTTCACAGAGCACAAGCAAAAACCTCGCAGGTACCTTGGCATCTTCAGAAATCCTTGTCTTCAAATCCTGCATCGTTGTCCTCGAAGATAAGCTGAGGTTGCAAATGACACAACGGCTGAAAGCCCAAACTACTTCCACTTGCATGTTGGTTGCGGACATAGATCAGATCAGAGATTACTGTTCAGAAAGGCCGGCCCACCGAAAAACTTGAGCCGAATCAGCCTCGGCAGGTCGCGCTCGCGAAGATGTTTTCCCTCGGTTCCCGGGCCTAAACCGGCAGTGACATCCTCAAAGCTACCCTCCAGTTTGACGCCTTGCAAGAGTGTTTCCCACCCAGAGCAAGCGGTCGTCTTTTTCCGGGCTTGCGAAAAAAATGCGCGGCTTCGATGGATGGCTTTGTTTGTTGGAAAAATGGGTGGCTTTGCTTGTTGGAGGGTACCACGTTTGGCGCTTCGAGCAAAGAAACCCAAAGCTCTCGCCAGACCGATCTCCTCCGGGGTGAAATCCTCATCGGTCTCCTGGCCACCTTGTGCGGGCGGCTCGTCTTTTGGGGCTCGGACCCGGGTTTTTTTTTTTATGTCGGTGTCGCGTTCCAAAACGGAATGCTGCCCTCGCCGCAAAAGCGCGGGGCACCCATGGCCTTCTAACCCCAAGACCCCGGGGTCAAGAACCGAACCACCTGCAAAATGGCCTTTTCTTTCGGGGCTTCGTGCGCTGACCTGAAACATCTTCCTCCCATAATCCAAAAAAGTTGTGTTCCCCTTCGGTCTGGTGAGATTCTCGTCATGTATTCAAAGGCCAAGTATCATCATTTTCGAGGCGCCCTGATGCAAGAGACGGCTGTGCTTCTCAAGACTGGGGAGCCTTCAATGGCGGTTGGTGTCCATTTGGATTCCTTTTCTGAAAGGGGGCGGAGGGAAGCACGGCTGTCTCATTCGGGACCTCCTTTGGATATCGAATGGTGATTGCGCAAAGAACTCCATTCTTGCCATCACAATGCCGAAGCTCTGTGTTGGTCAACCCATGCACACACTTGCCCTTTCCAGCAATGAAAGACGCCTCCCATCCTGCCAGCTGTGATTGTGAGGAGTGCCGATTGATTTCTGTGCACCCAGGTTCGATCAGACCATGTTTTCACACGACCTGAACGACATGGTGTCAGCCCGGGCCCCGCTGAAACCGACGGAAGCCGACTCCGAGAAGTTGGGGGAGATCGGCGTCCGGGGAATTCAACCGGGAACTCGTCCGGTGTTTTTGTTCCCCCAAGTGAATGAGTTGCCTCTTAAAAAATTGAGGCACTATCCTATTCTTTTTCGAAAAAGGAGAGAGAACTGGGGGGGAGTCCTTGAGCCAGGTTTTTCACAGACCTCTTTTGAGCAAACTCTAGGCACCCGACCGCTTTGGGGAGCGCTGTCCTGGCTGCACGCAGGGTAGGGGTGAAAATCATGGGCATGAATTCTGTTTTAGGAGCCCTTTGGACATCATTTCAGTCATAATCAAAACCCGGTATTAAAATGGTCTACCCAGAAATGACCATGTAAAGAATTAACAAAGGCGGCCGCAGCTGTTTATGGTTGGGTACTATCCTTCATCTACCCGGGTTTTGATTGTGGCTCATTTGTTTACTTGAAATTGATAGCCATGCAGGATTTCGTAAGAGGATTTCGGCTCTTGGATCCCTAGGGAGGCTTTGAGGGCGACTCGTTGGGCCACCTCTTGGAGCCGATTCCTGGGTGTTTTCGACCCTTGCTGTGGCTTAGTTCGAAGAAGGATTCTTGGAAAGAATGGGGAAGTTGCCCCATTCAAAAATCCAGGAAAACCAAAATAATCTTGGTCCAATTCAGCGAGGGTGGCCTGCAGCCCGAGACCACCAAACAAGGTGGCCAAGATGGGCATGAGTTTTGTTTGAGGACACATGACGCTGGGTCAAAACCGCGTACCCCAATGAATTTCCCAATCCCCACTAAAATAGACTAAAACGGGTGGTGCACCTATCCCAAAATAGTACCATTGGTTTTGACAACCACAGCCACATCATTTGCATGAAGATTGATGTCCACCACTTCCGAGGGTCTTCCGGAGGTGTCCTGGAGGCCACCGGACGGCAGTGGTGGCAACGGCGGTGCCGGACCTCGCGCGAGTCACGGCTGGCCCCATCCGGCTGGGAGAAGGGCTGGTGGTTCAGGGCATATGACGCCCTTTTGGATGGTTTCCAAGAAAAACACGGAGGAAACAACGACCCCTTTTTGGAGGTCACTGCCTTGACACACCTTTGCGCAACATGCGATTCAGATTCAGACACAAGGTGAAAAGATGGGATGAGGTCGTGTCCTGGCGGTGGCAGAGGCAATACAAGAACGCGCTGCTTGGAAAACAGTGCACATGTCCATCCCCGTAGCGCCGTGGGCATTCCAGCTCATCTCTTGTGCCCGGGAACAAGCTGCACTAGCAACTTCTGCGTCGTGTTGACCCGAGATCATTCCGGCCCTCAGTTCAACGGGTGTCTTTGGGGTGTGGAGACACTAGCTCAACCCGCAAGGGTTAATCCGTGGCAACATGTCTAACGTCTCCGTTCTTTTGAGCGATCCCGCTTTCAGAAACAAACACTTGGTTCGACTTTGCAGGCTCTTTTTCCCGAAAAGAACGACGGCTGAAAAGAGTGGGAACATTTTGCCGTGTCTGCCTTTGTTCGGGGTCGCCCTTGGGTTGATGGTTTTCGGGGTCACCAGACCGAAGTCGTCGGGTTTTCCGAGATTTGACAGTCACATCCGTCTGTCAGCGGCAGCCACCCCCCCACCCAAATGCAAGGCATCCTCAAGGCACCCAGCCGAACTTGCCAAACGCCAGCAGGTCCCTGGCCGGAGTGCCGTCTTTTCTGGCCTTTTTCGGGAGTGTTCTTCAAGAACCGAAGGAGAAAGAAAAAGAACCTGACACCAAAGGAGGGCACGCCATGGGCTAAAAACGGAGTCGGGGGAGACCTGCAAATGTCTACACCACCCAAAATGCTGGTGCTCAGGGAAAGGGGTAATGAACCTGATCCCCTAGGAAACCAGAGGGGATGGTTTATAGGGGTCATTCTCTCATTCCCCGTTGAGCACCAGCAAGAAAAGGCCACAGACCAAGAAGTATCGGCTCAAACTTCAAACTTCCGCCGGGCGCGGCGGGCCCTGGCTCGGCAGATCACGCTCCGGGCCTGAACCGCAGCTGCCAGCGGGGTCGGCGGGTCCGGAAATACCATCGAGAAACCAAAAAATATTGGTCTCCCCTTGGGCAATCAAACATGTTCAGCTAAGTATTGCTTGAATAACCTGGTCAGCATGGGTAGAAATCCACTCAAGCAACCTCGGGCAACTGGGAGAACAGCATGTGAACCACTGCCTCAAATATTCCTGAGGTGGCCGTGTTCCCAACTTCTGCGGTTCGGCTTAAGGGCTGGCGACAGAGTATATACCTGCAGGGAGCTTAAGATCTTTGGAGTCTGCCACAAGCAAGAAAGTTGTCCAAAAGGACTTGGGGGGCTTGAATCAGGTCCACCAGATGTTTAACCAACCTCTCTCTTTCCCCATGTGTGCTTGTTACTCCCCGCAATCTGGGGACGCAGCTTGTAGTCGGCTCACCTGCTGCTTGAAAGCCAGCGTTTGTTGTACCAGGCACGAATTTGATTGCAACATCTTGCAACAGCAATCTGGGCAAAATTGTGTGATTCCAAAGCTGGGAGTAAGGGATCCCCTTCAAACTCGTTTTATCCCGTAAGTGCTGCCAACAAATTGGGCTTTCCTTTCATTTCCCTTGTTCAACCCGCACAAGTATCCACCAAAATAGACACACCAAGTGGGCCACATTCTTGACCTTTGTGCCCTATTCGAGGCCCTCTTCCAGGCTTCTCTTAACCCGTACGCAGAATTAGCATGAAAAGAATTGTGCAGACCCAGGAAACAACGAGCGATTTTCTAAGAAAACTCCTTTGGGGGTGGGGTGCTTTTGAGGTTCTACGTGAATTTGTAGGGCTTTCAATGTATCTTCACGTCTGGCAACCAAAACGGATTCCTGGCTGTTCTTCGATTCTGGGGATGGAACGGGTGACAATGTGGCGGCAAACCAAACAACGCCATCCATCCCCCTTTGACTTTCTTGGAGAAACATACGGCTCAGCAGGCCATCCTCTTCTTGTGACACACAAATCCGACCCTTGCGGGCTGTCCGTGCCACTTCGTCCCTTGCTGATTTTGGCCCGCCCGCCTAGCTCGGACCTCAGTTGACGGCCGAAAGTGCCCCTTGAGTTGCCATGGGTTTCGACACACTCCAAATATCCAGTGAGAAACCAAAACGAGAAACCAAAAGAAAAACCCAAGGAAAAACTAGAAGCAAAGCCAAGACATGAACATAAAAACAAAACAAGCAGAAACCAAAGGGAAGCCAGCTTTGCAGCCCAGGCTCTTCCTTTCGGGCACCTGGGCCAAAGCGCCGCCCCGCGTGGTGGGCACTGATCGCCCACCGGTCACTTCCCGTCCCCCCCAATTTACAGCAGCCAAAGTGGAACAAACAAAAAAATGTTGCCCTTTGAGAAAACATGGGGACTTGAGTCTGCCGACCATTTCAGTGAAGTGTCATAGCCAGTGTGTTGGGAAGAGGAACCCCAAAGAGAAAAGTGCCCTTCCTCCGTGGGAGAACATTCTTGCCAGGCAGTTCCCAGTTGGATGATCAACCCACTCAGTGGATTACAGCCATCGTGTCTTCAATACCTGTGCAGTGCTTGACAAAGATATAATATCATAGGCATGGATACAATCCACTTACCTCCAACAATCACGCAAACTGAGCAACAACGTGGCAGACCGGGGTGTTGGGGGCAAGGTCCCACCGACTTCCAGTGGAAGCCCCGGCCCCGGCCTCGGCAAAGCGCTCCCGCACACCGCTGGCGCTGGCTGGTCGCACACCAACCACCGAGCGGCTGCCGGCGGCGCAGGCGCCGCCGGCCCGGGGGAGCGCGGAGAGCGGCCGCTTCCGGCCCGCGCTGACTGTCCTACCCCGAAGCCAACCTAAGAGAACGAATATCCGACACTGAAAGAAGAGCTATGAGAGAAGACTAGACAAGAAGACACATAAGGGGGGGGACTACCGCCACTAGATAGCCATTTAGTATCAAGGGTATACATTGTATTTGTATGATGCTAGTGTTTGGAAGGTAGTGGAAGCCATGCTGGATCCTTGGGAAGGGGTGTTACCTTGGTTTTTTTGGGGGCAAGGGTGCAAGGCGGGAACTGAGACGGTGACAAGAAGGAAAAGCGTAAAAGGTTGTGGTGATTATCACAAGACGTGTGTTGTCGTTCAATACCGTGGCGACTTGCATCTGTGGAAAACGGGCGATTGCCCTGCACCAAAACCAGTTGACACAACTCCATGCCATCTGACGTGTGTACTGCTCAAGAACACACACACACACACATGCCAAACTCTCAACCAATTTTGTTTGCTGCTCTTGGGGAGGGGCCTTTACGAATATGACGTGCTGGTGCGATTGGTAGGGAATGAGTTGGTATTGTCCAACTCATTCCCTGCATCTCTCGCACCAAGAAGTCAAGACCGCGCAAGAAGTCAACACCATCCCTTCCATTCCCTGCCTCTCCACCCTGGCCGCGCAGAAATGCCGCGCCGCCGCACTGCCCGGCGCCGACGCCGCCGCTCCGCCCGCGCCTCCTCCGCCTCTGCCCGACGGCGAGGGCTCCTGGGCCGCGCTCACCAGCTGCTCCCGCGCCGCCCGGTGGCGCTGCAGCAGGGACAGCCGGGAGGCCGTCTCCATGGCATGGCTCGACCAGGAAAATGCCGCCCCCCACCCCCCCCCTCCCCGGAGAGGGGTGCCAGTCGGCGTTTTGGGAATCCCCAAACATACCAGGGGGGAAAATCAAAGTAAAACGGTGCTACCCGAAAATCGCAGGTGTGCAGTGTGGAAACTGTAGCGGCATTGTCTGAGCTCAAGCCTCCATGGCTTCACACAAAACAGAACAAAAGATTGGGTCCCTGACATTCCGCATGTCTGAGTTTGCACCGGTGCTGCATGAATGTCAATATGACTTGTGAGGCTCAAGCCCACGGAAAGCTGACAAATGCAAAACTTGTCCCACTATGGATTGATGCAAATCGTCGCATTGCTACCATCCAAGTGGCTTGTTTAACACTTGCGCCTTGATTTGAGATTGCTGGACTTGCCGGTGTGAATCAGTTGGGTTTTACCGAGGTGTTGCTTCTTTTGCGGATCTTGATTTTTGGGATGGGAAAGCCGAGCTTGCGAGTACAGCGGCACAGTGAATCAGACATGTTGTCTTTTAAGAACTTTGCAAAACATGTTGGAACAAAGCTGCCAACATCTGACCAGAACCCCTGAAAAAAGCCATGGAAGCCAACGACCAACGCTCGCATGCAAGTCCTGCAAGGCGCACTAATTGTCCTTGTTGTTCCTATGCTGAGTTGCTGTCACAAAAGAAGCTCCTACTCTATTCCCAAACCGGATCCAACAGAAGACCAATCGAAATTTAATGCGTACGCGGACAGGAGGGATGAGGCAACGCTGCAGCTGGTGCCGCACGTCCGCATCACGCAACACGCTGCAAGGCCCCGGCGGTCGTTTCCCAGACGGCGATGTTACACGAATGCCGACGCGGACGCGGTTTGCGCTCACTTTGGATCGATCCCGAGGCCGTTGGTCGAGTAAAAGATCCAGCGCCGGCCCCGAGCAGCATTGCGCACATCGACTCGTTTGCAATTCGAGCACATAATTTCCTGTCATCGGAATCCTTACAGCTTCGGTCCCAGACAAGTGACATCCGCACACGTGGCGAGTGCACTCCAAAAAACCGCCTCCCAGCAGCTCAAAACAAAACAGGCCCTTTTCACACCAAAAACAACCCCCAAAGCGGTTGGTGTCCTTTTCACACTCGACTTTTTCCAAACAAAACAGTTCGGTTTTACACTTTCGATTTGATTTGACTTTTTCCGTCAGCTCCAAACAAAACCCACACACAAGGGGGCGTTTAATTTTGGAAGCTTTCTTGATGTCTTTGACATTGAGACGCAACATGGCCAGAACATGTCCGCCACCAGGACTTTAAACAATCTGTCTTTGGCACTTCTGGCGAAAAACACGTTTGCGCTCAATTTACTTTTTGGTGGTCTTTTTTGGCCCACTCGGCCAGTTCGAGTTGCCGGTTTGCTCCGCGTTGGTTGACATTAACTGTGTAAAACTCAGCTGACCCGTCAAAACCAGAAAAGGCACAGCAACAAAACTGAAGTTCGCAACCCAACAAGACCGAATTAATGCAATTCCAGCCTAAGACTTTTTCAACCCCCCAACAGCCGAACTGTTGTTTTTTCCCATGTTGCCTTTCGCATAATCGCCTGTTTGACCGAAGAGACTCCAACACATAGACAACACAAAAGAGGGCGAACCATGTGTTTTTACAAGCTATTTTCGCAAGACGCAAACCAAAAAAAAACAAGCTAAAGGTTGGTAACGCACAAAGCCAAGAAAGACACCAAGCGTAACCGTACGACACTGGGCATGAATGCAAGCATTGCCACCAATCTCCAACAATACCTCCAATGTTACACCAAAATTTCGCTTACATTCACGTTTTTGATGAAAACCACGCCAAAGCACCAAAGAGATGATCGTTGCAGAAACCGAGCATCCAAGCACTTGTATGAAGCCGCACCTGCGGGTTTTTGGAAAGGCAGCCAACCAGGCCCGCCTTGCAGAAAAGTCCAACCAACAAACTTGAAGAACTTTAAAATTAGGTGCCAGAAAAGTCTTGATGTAAAAACAAATGTTTAGGTACAGGGCGCAACAAAACTTGTCTGTATTGCTTGCAGTCTCCTGGCAAGGAAACTTGCATTTTTATAATGGTTAGAGTTAAAACCCAATTGGTGGTAAATTGCATAACGAAGGGGCAGGGCTTTTTGGGACCAATTAATTTGCGTTTTTGGAGTAGTAAGGAAAGGCAACTTATAGCATCATGAAAAAATGCAGTTTTGGCCCGAAAAGGACGCATAATCGGCACTTTTTCGGGCAAAGTCATGGGGATTTCTTCGGATGTCACGCGATTCCGCGGGCTGGAAAAAGAGCACAAAATGTCCCATTTCTGCAACTTCTGAAAAACCTCGTCGTTTCGGCCCGGGGGACAACCATCCTTGCAGCCAGGGTTCCTCGACTGAGGTCCTTGCAGGCAGGGTTCCTCAACTGAGGTTCTCGCAGCCAGGATTCCTCTCAACCTGTGCGGTCATTACAGTGAGGAGTCGGAGGACTCTGGTGGCAGTTCGTGCGCTACTCCGGCAGCAAGGCCCCTGTAGCAAAGTCGGTAGCGATGCTTCTCTCACAAGCTCGATTCCAGGCTCTGGGGTCGCAGCAAAAATGGCGTGTAGCACAGAATCGATGAGATGTCTTAGAAACAATGACATGCTCGGCTGGCTGCCTTGTCACCCAAGGGCCCGTGGCGCAAAGGATAGCTAGGTTTCTCTTAGCAGCGGCGCCGTCGAGAGCGAGATCTGTCCAGGATTCAAGGGCGCTGTGGGCGTGACCCCGGCGGACTTCCTTGGAAACCTGAACAACGTCGGAGTGCCCGAAGCCTTGGACAAATCCTTGGTAGAAATCCGGGATTTGCTCAGCAGGCATTTCCATCAGAGTATGCCCAGCGTGCGCTATCATTGTCCCAAGAAATTGTTGCTCCTGCACGGCATGCGAATGTGAGTTCATTTCCACCACCAAGTTCATGATCCATGGACAACGACGAGCCCAAACCATCCGACACCACCAATGTGACGGAGGAAGTGAAACAAGCTCAGCGAGAAGCAAAAGAAGATGCTGAGCGATTCGTCGCCGAGGAAGAACGACCCGACACCCAGGCGCTACGCCTCTGCTCTGGTGTCTTCCCATCGACACTCTTGTACCTGCAAATCAGGTCTTCTGAGTGTCTTGGAAACCAAGACAGCACCGGGTCATCTTCCTTGAGAATTCGACCCAAAATCTCCTCAAGTGAGGATCGCAGGACTCGTACCTGCCTCTTGATTTCTCGGCACAAATTCTCGATTGCGCCATTCGCCCGGTGGTCAGCCACCGGCGACTCCTGTGGAACATTCTCCACACCTGCTTCCTTGGCCGCCTGCTCCTTCAGGGCAACGATCGAATGCTCACCATCACTCTTGAAGACTGCACGACGGTAACCAAGATGTTTTATAAAGTTCGCCATGAATTTCACCGCATATGGCGTCGGTCCTTTTGCGTCCACGAAGGTGGCCGCAACGGCCAGTGTTGACGAAGCCGGCGAGGCATCATACCTCTCTGGATTCATTGGCGTCGTACTCTTCAAAGTACGGAAGGTGCTCGCCAACAACGAGGCAGACGTGGTCAAGGAGCCTGGCAAAGAAGGCGGACTATACTGTCCCTACATCTCGATTAACGGGAGGTTCAAAGATGTTGACAAAACAAACATTCCAATCCCGCCAACCTATGAAGAGGTCACTGCCGCTCAAAAGCGCAAACCACCGGGACGAAGAAATGTTGTTTTGGTAGCCATCAGAAGGACATTGCCTTCGTCAGCGACACAATTTGCCCTCGGCCTCAACTGCGATTACATGACCTTCTACCGAACAGATGTGAACATTGGCCGCAAGCTCTTGAAACTTGAGCAGGATCATTTGCATTCAAGGCGTCAAAGAGGTCGACACTCCTCTGATCCAATGGTGCTATTCACGCAATACACATCTGCCCTCGCGCTTTATCGAAAGATCAATCGGACCGAGGAGACACCGCAATCTCTGTTCCGTTGGAGGGCGAGTAGAAAGGCCATCGCAGAAGCATCACACCGGTGATCAAGCATTTTCTATACGATTTTTTCTACATGAGGGGACCAACTGGAATTTGCGGTTATGTATCTACAAAACAGAATTGTGATACTCATCGTGAATGATATCATGGCCAGCCCTGGCGGCAAACCAAACATATTTGCGTGAGACTTGCATTTATCACCACAAAATGTTCCGTACAGTATCGTCATCGGCGACCACTATTCTGGCCAGTCACGAATTGTCCATGATTGACTGTATTCAGCAGTCCCTTCGTCTGGATCAGTTACCCGTTTCCACTCCCAAAACGAATTGTCTGGTCAGGTACTTCTGGGTGCCACAGTTGAAGTTGACCCGGAGTGTAGATCCGCACCCACTCTTGATCATGCCAAACAAAATAGGCGCTGCTCGCCAGCGCAGGCCAACGTCTGTGTTGCATCATCCGTGTCCATGTCGAAGCGATAGACAGGGCGTACGCCAGAAACAAGCACAACCAACAAGCACACATGCAAACAAGAGAGCATGAAAGCACCATTTTGTACCACTGTCCAAACTCGTCTGTCTACTTAGCAACCAGTGAAGATGGGCTTCTTCTTGATGGCAGAGTTGCTAGGCTGGCTTGCGGGCAGATAAGGATCGGCAACCCCAGACTCAGATATATCGCGCCCCGAAACGTACGCAATGCTGATGTGGCTGCGACGCTTGGCGCGCGCGACCCGACAATTGCTGGCAGATTCCCGCTTGAAGACGAGCGAGATCTTCAGTTGAGCAGATCCTGGCACCCACGGACGTCTCCCTGGCAAACTGGACGGTTCGTCCGAGCAGCGGCTGCAGCGTGGTCCTGGCCACCCACACCACGCTGACCCTGGCGGCGAACCCCTGGAACATCGTGCACACCTACAACTTGACCTTTTCCTTCCTAAATCTTTTCCCCCCTTTCCCTGTTGGGCTTTCCCCCCCTAAGTC